GGGAAAAACTCAAAGTGCAGAATGAAGGGCTCAAGCAGCTCTGTTGCCATGACAGGTCTTATAAGGTACTTTGGCCTGAGTTTCTGTTTCCTGGAAATGTTCCCACAGTTACTTAGATCATGTTTCTATTTCTCAGAACATGAAACTATAGTTCATGGAAACGAGATACAATAACTCAATAACTTCCCTGAAAATCGGAAACAATAATCTAGTAATCACCTTGAAAAGTCCCCAAGCACTTGACCAATCAAATTAAAGGTTAGTTAGAAACCTTTGCTTAGCTAGTCAAAAGTTTTTGTTACCTGGGCGCACCTTGTTACACCCCATGAAGTATCCCCCTATCCCCTAGATGAGCACCAACCAATCAGTTTTTGACAAGCTTGCTTCTGCTAAATGCGAACCAATCACGTAGCTGAAACTCCTGTTCCTTGCTCAAACCACAGTAAAAACCCAGCTTTGCAGCTGCTCAGGACTCCCCTACCTAATCCACTGCATTGGACAGTGGGGAGTCTGAGCTTTCACCTAAAATAAAGGCTCTTTGTTCTTACATCCTGGTTGTCTTTGGGGTCTGGGCATAACAGTGGGGTAGAATGGAGGGGAGTGGAGTGGAGGGGAGGGAAGGGAGTAAAATTGAGAGGAGAGGAGAGTAGAGTAGATTACAGTACAGTACAGTACATTAGAGCAGCACCTGTTTTCAAGCCATGTGTGGAGCAGTTACCAAGGCTGGAGACCCCTACAAATAATTCCATTGGTTTTAGGGCATTCCCATCAACATTCCTTACTCCATAAGTTCATTTAGAAGGGGGTTCATAAGTATCAATTAAGGCATAGAAAAAAATCCTAGTATTGAAAAATAACAGTTTTACTTATTACCTAGTCTCACCCAAGGTGCCTGGATTTGTTGGTAGTTCCTTGAGTGGAACTTTAAGATGGCAACCTCCTGAAGCTTTGCTCACAAAGACTAGCAATCTGAGCTGAAGGCTCATCTTCCCTTTGAAGATGAACATCATCCTTCACAGTAGTTTCTTTATATGCAGAGGGAGCAGATTTGAGTCCTAATTATTTTAACTTTGATGAGGAAAAAATTTTCAAGCTCCAAATTTCTGACAATTATGGTAAGCATGCCTCTTTAAAATCCTTTTTCTTTAGCCTGTGTTTGTTTCTGAAGCATCTTATTTCTGGGTAGTCCTGTTCTTGAGTCTATAATTGTTTTTTTGTTTGCTTGTTTGTTTGTTTTTTTTCCTGGGCATTTTTGTACACCCTCCATTTTACCTCTGCTATTGTTAACAAAAAAATGCCAAATTTAAAAGTTAACTTGAACAGTGTGACCCTCCACTGAAGCTTGCTCTTAATGACTGGAGGAAATTAGAAACAAACCTCTAGAGATATCTGACTTTAGGAAAAACTAGAATATCCTCTAATTTTTGTAAATTTAGCCAAATTCAGCATTCTTAGGTTTTATTTCAGATACATGTTGATGACTTATTTGGGTCTTCTGAGACATTTTAAGCTTTCTGGTTTAGTTTTTCACTTTTTTCCTCATTTAAAATCATCCCTTACCTTAATTTACTCTACCATCCACTTTCCATTCTCATCTGAATATATTCCAGTTTCTCTTTAACTTTCTTTCATTAACAAAAACATATTCTATGCAAAAAAATTTTATGCTTTTTTTTAACTTGATGGTTCATTTTCTTTTGTTCTTAGAAAAGATTTTTTTTCATGACACAGTAACTGTGCTTGAATGAAACACAGAAAGCTGTACCTGAAACACTGGCAGCATATTACAACTCCTTGACATGCTGCTATTTTTAAATCAAAGGGAGAATAAAAATGTGACACTTATGTCTTCATTTGCATTCATATTCATTCCTTGGGGTTACCTGTTTACTTCATTTCATAAGCAAAGAAGAGGTCATGAATCTGAGAGTGATGGGGACAGACACAGAAGGGTTAAAGGAGGGGAGTAGAAAATGGGATGATGTAATTCAGCACTCCTGTATGAAATTCTCAAAAAGTAAATTAAAAATAAACTAATATTCACTGCAAAAAAGAATATTAACTTTAATAGACAAGTTTTTAAAAATGTAAAGATGAAGTGGTCACAAATTCTGTTATTCCGTTGTTTTATGAACTAGGAACTTTATGGGAGGATCAAGTTTTCATTGTGCTGCTTTGGATACAAAGTGACACATAAGTCATTGCATAAAAAGTCATTATTAACACAGATAGCACAAACCAGAGTGTATTCAGGAGATTCAAAGTAGAAGGGTTCTATTTACATATTGTTATGCCAGGTTCACGGGACCCTCAGAGACCACCAGGAGACAACTCGATGCAATTGCAAGAGAGCTTTATTATGAGAACGATCGAACTCGGGACCCAAGTCTCACTGGTGCAGCAGTAGAGAAGTGGGACCCTGAGCTCTGAGTGAGCAGAATTTTTAAAGGGAAAGTCTGTGAGCAGGGGGTTTCCATGGCAGCAAGCAGGGGGGCACAAGCCTTGGCGTTACAGAACTGGGTGAAGTTTAGCCGGGCAGGGTGACCTTTTCTGAGGCACACCATCACAATGGCTAAGGCATATGATCACAATGGCTATTTTTCTAAACCACATCTGAAACGTTGGGGAGAATTTTCCCACCCGATTCTCAACCGATTCCCATTGATTATTGCCAGGGAGTTTGTCTCTATTTTCTATGATGCATTTATTCTGTTATATTTCCTGGAGGCTGATGCTAGGAGAGTTAACTTTGTTTTCTGCCAGGTGTACATTCTGTGATATTTCCTGGTACCTGAATTCAGTTCCCAGTCAAAATCTTTATTTCAAAATGGAGTTATATTCTGGCTAACTTAAACTCTTCAATATATCTTAGGAGGCCACGAGAATAACTCTTGGAGATCTAAAAGAGGCAATTTTTAATTCTCAGCCAACCTTTTAAAAAGATTAATGTATTTTACATGTATACAGGTCCATGTGTGTGTGTGCATGTGTGTGTGTGTGCGCGTGCGTGTGCGTGTGTGTGTGTGTGTGTGTGTGTGTGTGTGTGTGAATCATGTGCATGCAGAGCCTGCAGAGACCAGAAGACAGCACCATATCACCCAGAATTGTTGTTACAGGCTGCTGTAACTGCCATCTAGACACCATGAACTTTACTCTGGCTCTCTACAAGGTTAGCCAGTATGCTTATCTGTTGAACCATCTCTCCAGCCATATCTTCTCCATTTTTCCTCAAAAGACTCAAGCTGAGTTTTCCTACACTCAATTTTAATATATAATGTCCTCTAAGTGTTTTGATCTCTCTTTTTACAAAGAAAAGGGTAGATATCTATGAAGCCTTAATTTCCTCTTGAAATTTTTAATTTTCTCTGTGAAGAACCAAGCAATACCCTTCTACACTTTGTAATATCCCTGGGTAATCATCATGTTACCCAGGGATCTTTGATCTTTTATCTTTGTCCTACAAAGGTGGTAAATTACCTAAGCAGAGCTTGCTTTTTATATTCTCCTTGATAGAACTTAAAACACAGAGTTCTTTGAATAGCAAATAATGGTTATTGTAACATTATTCTCAACATTACCCATCTAACAGAAGCTATAGCAATGTGCCGGTTTATCTAACTGGATTGAGCTTCTCTAAATTCCTCTCCCCGTTTATCAGCCCTCTCCATTCTCAGCAGGTAAATTGCTCTTTTTTTCCCACAGAAGGATTAGAAACCACAGGGTGTAAATATCCTCATTGTGACCATACTTCACCTTCCCAACAAAGGTCATTCCTGTCTTTGTGCTCTCTGTGTATATCTAAATCTTTTTTTTCCAGAAATTCTCTGCAATATTTTTATGTGATATTTCCACAAAATTTTCTACATGCCATTACCAATTATGTTTAATTATAATGTGCCTATATTTTTTCCATAATTTCAAAGGTTCCCCTCTATCATCTTCTTCTCTTTCTTCATTCATGGCCCCACTTATTGACAGACTCACATTTAAATATTCATTTTCTCGTGCTTTATATTCATTCTCCAACCTACAACAGTCTAAAGTTCATGCAATCATGTTTCCTGTGTGGGAATCCAGACTATAAAACAACATTTTTAGTCTCATTTCTACCTATTTTCCCTGAGCCAACCCAGCTGTTCTCTCTTCATCCCCCTTTATCCCCATTCTTTCCCTGCTCATTAATCAGTGCATGTCTTCCTTTGTGCCATCACTTTATGTATACCCATTCTCAACCATTTCATTCTCTCATTTCTTCAGAATTTGAAATTAAATCAGTAGGTTTTGCAATAACAAGTCAAAATATATAGAATTGTAACTTGGGAGTGGTTAATTAAAGCCATATTAATTACTAAAATCTAAAATCATATTATTAAAAAACTAAAATCTTGAGGTAAATGAACAGAGTATCTGTGCTCTTCTTGTATTAACAGCCAGCCCTAATGGGGACACCATGATCCTGATAATCTGCTACATATCTGTAAGTGAACAGAATGCATATCTAGAAATATAACTCTTATTTGAAAAAGAAGGTAGCAGGGTTGCTATTTTGGGTGACCCACTGATCTAGGTAACTGACATGATCATCTTGTCCACAGAACCGTCCGTTTTGTAATAAGTAATCTGCATGGCTCCAGCAACCACCTGACCTTAAGATATTATGCAGAAAGTATAAAATATTAAAACAGCAAAAGTCATCATTTGAACATGTAAGTAGTACACTATACAATAATTTGATTATTATCCTTTTATCAAATATAAGAGTTATTTTTTAAAGTTCTTTACACTTTGAAAAGTAGTCTCTTTCTAATTATGTAAAGTTACTCTTTCACTGTGTCATTATATCTGTCTTATTTCCAGTGTTTGTCTCTGATATTAATATAAATTTTGTATTAAAGGTAACAGAAAACCTTAATTTTAATGAATATAATGAACACAAATGTGTTTTCCACATACACTCAAGAAAGCAATATAGTCTGACAGGGATCGATAGGAAACAGGAATGATTTGATGAATAACTCATATTTAATAGGTGAAAGACACAATTAAGGTTATGTTAAATGTAAAATCAAGAAAACCAAAATGAGATATATTTTTGATTTATAAATAAAGAAAATATTGAGCCCATTTTCATACATAAGTAAAGCCTCAGGACACTGAACTCAGCACAGTCTTCCTAAAATTATTTTATGCAGGATTCATATGTTGGAATACTCTTTGTCTTTTTCCATTTGTTTTTATGTCCTTAAACCTTCTTGAAAAGATGTACTCCTTGATGAGAAGGGGAAAGGAAAAGGAAAGAAGAGAATGTAAAAGAATATTAATCATAATACAATGCCTACTAAAATTTTGGCAGTTAAGCATTTCATGTGAACAATGTCTTAACTAGGAACCAACGGAGCAAGTAACCATGCTTGAAAAACCATACTTCTGGTTCTATTTGAAAAACTTAATACTGTTTATTTATGTTCTTCACTATATTAATACCAGGTTTATATTTCCTTCATATTATTTGCACACACACACACACATATACACACCACCCCCATTTTCTTGGAAAAGAGGATCCGAGCTGCCAAATATTATACATATGCATTATATTATAATATTATACAAAAATCTTCTACTCTAATTTTACCATGATTAAACATAATAAGTGTTTCTAGGCAAGCATCTTAAGTATTTGTATAGAGCATACGGAATGCATTTTTAAGGCTCTCACAGTGTAGTTCCCAGAGTTACCTCATCATCTACAGCTGCACAAGTATTTCCAAAATTCTGTTATTTTACCAATAAGAAGTGCGCTTATTACCAATAAGAAGTATGATAGTGAATTTTTTCTCATTTCACAAATGAGTCAAATTTTGGACATTTGAATATCATACATACAAATGCATTTGTTTTCCAACTGTCGATGTATCACAGATATAAAAGGTAAACGTCAGCTTGACTCCAGGAAACTCAAAATCTCCCAGTGTTTACTTGAGCTTAAGACATGAAGAAAATATGATTTTCGTTTCTGACAGACATAAAGACAGTAGTGTAGAGCATAATTTTAAAGGATTTATAAAATAGCGAATCTCTTGAATAACATCTGACAAAGAATATTTTGGGTACATCTTCCTTACCCTTCTCTTTGGGTACACCTTGGATATTTCAGCTTTCCGCTGTCACACTGCACTCGAAGTTCAGACCCAGTAATAGATGTCTCAGTTATATACGCATCCCTCTTACAAATAAACTCAATATACTCTCCGTGGAGAATGTGTGGTCTTTTGTCAAAATTCCACTTCAGCTGTAAATGATTCTTATCCATTTCAACAAATGATAGTGTGCAAGGCTCTGGACAAACACAAGAAATTAAGAAGAAAAGTGCAGTGACACATCTTGTACTAGCAGCACTGACAATGCTGCCTGGCCGCAGCAATCCAGAGAGAGGCGAGCACTTCCTTGCTGGAGTCAGAAGACATGTGCTCTGCTAGTCCGCAAAGGAACCGGTGTGACACTCACTCCTGTGGTGCTTGAGTCAAAGAGTACATGGATAGTTATAAAAATTCATTAAAACTACCGTCTATTTCCTTTGCTTATTCATAAAATGTAAGTAAACTGCCTGAGGGGTGTCTCAGTAATAAAACCCTGCCTAACATGGGTAAAACCCTGTCCTGTGTATAATACTCAGCAAACACAAATGGTACCTCATACGCTTCCTTGAATTAATTCACTGCACCTTGGAGGTCATATATACTTCACCACTAGTTAATTTTTAATACACACAGTTGATTGTAAACATAAATTTCATTTGATTGAATTTTTTAAAAGCCAAAATTTTGATACCATGAAAGTATATCATCTATAATATTCCTATAAATATTATATATGATATTTATAAGATAAACCATTAATCACTAACAAGGTGGCAATGTAGAAACAAACTAGATTCTCAACAGTAATCCAAGTGTTCTGACCTATCACATCCAAAACAGTTAACAGTCAACTGTAAATTTCCAGTTAAGGAGTATGAAGTTTAGAGTCTATTTTAAACGCTAAGCAATGAAAGTATTCATGTTTCCCTTCAACTATGTATTAACATAAAGCAGGACAAAAAATTAAAAAACATATATGATAATAGATAAGTATCTCTGATTTCCCCATGACAAAAATAGAATTTTTATATTCTTCAAAAATCAAAATATCTAGCCAGGCGTGGTCGTGCACACCTTTAATCCCAGCACTCGAATGCAAAGGCAGGCAGATTTCTATGAGTTTAAGACCAGCCTGGTCTACAGAATTAGTTTCAGGACAGCAAGGCTATACACACACACACACACACACACACACACACACACACACACACACAACTGTCTCAAAAAAACAGGAAAAAATAAAAATATTTTCAAAGTGGGATTCTGGAGTCTCATTTGGCTCCTTGATGATGTGAGATTAGGGGGAACCTTCTGATGTAGATTTAAGATTTCCAGAATTCCTAAACAACATATCAACTATAGATTGTTAATAAACAGCAAAAATGTTTATTCAGATACTTTTAAAGAATGGACTGAATATTTATAAGCTAAGTGTTATATGAGAGGTACTGCAGTCAATACACTAAATAAAAAGGATTGGAGTCAGGATCTCTGTTGAATAATATTTCAATGAAGTCAAATTGAATTGTAACTTAAACCAGTGTTGAAGTAGAATAAGGTAGAAAATACCAACCATTAGAAACTGATTTATTGATATATTTAGCGATTTACTTAAAGCATTTCTTATATTGTTTATTGCCAAACATGGCTTTACCTCACTACCTGGAAGAGAATGAGCTGGAAAAATAGACGAAATACAATAGGTGATTGCCCTTAGCCACCTGCCCACAAAAGCTTACACCTGTCAGCTGTAACACATGCCTTTGAAGAGCAAAAGTTCCCAAGCTTGCTGCCCCTTACACTTCTGGAAAGTTCCAATGAGCCTGTCTGTGTGTAGTTTTAGAATCTTAGGAAAGAAGTGGGAAACAGTAAGATCTGGAGAGGACAGGAACTCCACAAGGAGAGCAACAGAACCAAAAAATCTGAGCACAGGGGTCTTTCCTGAGACTAATACTCCAACCAAGGACTATGTATGGAGATAACCTAAGACCCCTGCACAGATGTAGCCCATGGCAGTTCAGTATCCAAGTGGGTTCCATTGTAATAGGAACAGGGACTGTCTCTGACATGAACTGATTGGTCTGCTCTTTAATTACCTCCCCCTGAGGGGGAAGCAGCATTACCAGGCCACACAAGAAGACAGTGCAGCCACTCCTGATGAGACCTAATTGACTAGGATCAGAAGGAAGGAAAAGAAGATCTCCTCTATCAGTGGACTTGGGGAGGGGCATGCATGCAGAGGGTAGAGGAAGGGAAGGATTGGGATGGGAGGAGGGAGGGAACCACAGGGGGGGGGATACAAAGTGAATAAAGTGTAATTAATAAAGAATTAAAAAATAAAAGAAAATAAAAGAGTATGAACCAGCTTGCAGTTTTAGACTATAAAACGAGAGTGCAAACTCCACTTGCGATTGAATTCTTTCAGGATCAGTCCTGGCTTCTGTCCATCATGAATGCATCTCTTCTCTTCCACCATCATTGGAGTCTGAATGTTCTTATTCCAGAGAGATTCCCCAAACAGTATTGTTTTATAAAACATGTTTTATGTGAAACTTTATAGATTTTCTGCTTTCACCTATGACTAATTAGCTTATATTAGCAAAATTGTACTAAGACCTAAAAATGTTTTAAATTAAAACTATACATGAAGGCATCTGAGAACTGCCTACAGAGCCAGTGAGTGAAAAGACTAACACAAGTCCATTTGGTGAACTAAAGCTAATATATGCTGTGTTTCCTCTTGGGTCACTTTGTTTTGTTTTTGATTCTCAGCTTGGTTGAAAGGCTAGTTATAAAATAACCAATAACAGCATAAAACAAAGTTTTTGAGAGTCTCACAGAGCTGAAAGCAGAAAGAGAAGTATGTATAGAACTGGAGTTGGTAACTTAAAGGGCCCAGAAGGTAGCAAAATTAGCTTGATTCTCTACATTTTTTTCCCTTCAAGTAGTCAACAGTAGACTGTTGCAGAAAAATTGAGGAGCCATGATAGTCTGGTTAAAAACTGCATCTTTGGCATTCTTGACATATACCATTGTTGGTCTAGAAGGAGGTACAAAAACCAAAGTTTTAACACAGAACCATAGAAAAGAAGCAGCTTCCTTTCTAATTCCAACTGGAGCAAGTCCAACTACCTCAATCCTAACCTTTAGCCATAGAATAAGATCACATAGTCCTAAGTACCTAAATTTGTTCACATATAACATTTAATATTCAATCTTTTGCTATACAAATAATGAAAAATTACCCTGGGAAATAAAGTCCTTCACCATGGTACAGATTTGTGGGGTTTTTTTGGGGGGGATAGGGATACAAAAACAGGCGTGGTAACTATGGACCAAAAGTTGATGTCTGTTGAAAAACTCAGATTTACCAAAGAAGGTTTAAAATGGATGTTCTAGAAATGGAAAGATATTAACTAAAGGACTCATGGTGCCGGAAAGTGCTCTGAAGGCTTCTGGGAGAGAGAGCACATCAGCAGGATTAGCCATCATTCCACTCTGCACACTACAACATAGGTGCTCTGGCATATTAGTGGCATGACTGGAGGTTACTAACTAATAGCTTTCTGGTTGGGTTTGAAATCTGATTCATGGTTAGCATTGTAATCCTGGGTGAAAGATGGCTGAGAAGGTCACAGGCCAGTGAGGAACACAGGAAAACAGAGAAGGTCAGAACATAAGTACAACAGTAAGTATGCAGATGGTTCTAAAAGACTGTTGCATGCCTAGTGGTTGCCTACCAAAACTAGAATGTAAGTCCTTATTGCTGAAAATACCACACATCCTGGAAGCATGATACAGAAAAGCAAGCTAGAACTGAACTGGAAACTTCCTCCCTACTGGTCAGCTTCCATAATCACAGAAGATGCAACGCAGGCTTCTGGGAGGGAAGTCAATGGTCTTATCTAGCTATGAATTCTATGATCTACAAGACCAAGCTACTAAGCAAAATGTGCCAACTAATGAAATAGTGACAGTACTGTTGTCAGGGTACCTAACTACACTTTAAATAGATTTAAGACCCACCGACAAGAGGAAATACATGCCTGGAACAATAAATCTGCTCAAAAATCTATGGCAGTAAAGATCTCATAGGCAAGGGGAACTAAATACTGTTATTTAACTAAGTTGATATAGCAGCAAGTTGCATTCTAACTCTTTATGTTTATATTCAAAGATAAATGCTCTCAGCCAAAAATCAAAGAATCTTTTCTTTCCAGTGAATGTTGTTAACCACAGACACGAACGCCTATGAGGTGCTGAGGTTGGGTGAATGAATGCTCAGTGTTAACCATGTCATTTGTACCATGCCCTCTAAGACCTAGGAAATACAGCAGAATAGGGAGTGGAAAGATTGTAGGACCTGAAAAACAGAGGGAAGAGCTACAAAGGGCACCCCATGGGCAAGGCACAGCTATTGCAATTACAAAGTCACGGCAGCTGCGTGAGTACACAGTGCCTGAACTGAGTACACAGTTTGGCCCCTTCAACAGTGTGGCTGATGGAGGAGGGCCTCTGAAATTCTACCCCTCATTGATCAAATGTTTGCTACTGATAGATCCAGAGAGAGTGCAAATCATTTCATTCAGCTGTGTACCCACTATTGGCTCCCCCAGGCAACAGTAGATGGAGCCAGTATAACGACCACACTAATGGCCCTGGTTAAAGTAACTGAGTCACAAAACTAAAAGTCATGAATCGAGGAAAGGAGCTGCAGGAGTTAGGGGATGATAGGGCTTGGAGGGAGATAAGAAAGAGTTGGGGGGAACAGGGTAATCAGAACACAGCATATATGGGAATGAAATTTTTAAATAACTAAATCACAAAAAAATGAATATTGTCAGACAATAATGCTAACAGTAACTCCAGGCCTTAAGCTGCATGTACATTTCAAGGGCACAGCACACGAATACAGTATTCTAAAAGAAGAAATAAAAAGAATAATCCACATCAGATCTCAGAAACAAAGGTGTCATTATAAAATCTATAATAACAGTTAAGGGAAAACCAGAGAAAAGTATAAGCAAACTTGTAGATGGTAAGATTGTTAAACAAAAAAGGTAATTTGTCCATAAGAAAGTTGAGAGAAAAAAAGAATATGAAACAGGTAGAGTAATTTATGAATGTGGTAAATGACAGCTATTATATAAATATGATTTGAAATAAATCAACTGTACAATGCTTATAGACATACAACGTAGGACAAACCCACTAAAATCTGTGCATCTAAAGAAACCAAGCAAGAGAGAGGACCATAACTAAAATGCTCAATCCCCACCTGAAAGGCAAAGAGGATGGATATCAGAAGAAGAAGAAAACAGGAAACAACCTAGAAACCTGCTACAGAGGGCCTCTGAAAGCCAGAAGAAGAAAACAGGAAACAAACTAGGAACCTACCACAGAGGGCCTCTGAAAGCCTCTGCCCTGCAGACTATCAAAGCAGATGCTGAGCCTGTTGGCCAACTGTCAGGCAGAGTGAATGGAATTTTATGTAAGAAGTGGGAAATAGTAAGAGCTGGAGAGGACAGGAACTCCACAAGGAGAGCAACAGAACAAGAAAATTTGAACACAGGGAACTTCCCAGAGACTCATACTCCAACCAAAGAGTATTCATGGAGATAACCTAGAACCCCTGCACAGATGTAGCTCATGGCAGGTCAGTGTCCAAGTGGGTTACCTAGTAATGAGAAGAGGGACTGCCTCTGACATAATCTGATTGGCCTGCTCTTTGATCACCTCCCCCTGAGGGGGGAGCAGCCCTACCAGGCCACAGTAGAGGACAATGCAGCCACTTTTGATGAGAACTGATAGACTAAGATCAGAAAGGAGAGGAGAACCTCCCCTATCAGTGGACTTGGGGAGTGGCATGCATGCAGAAACGGGAGGGAGGGTGGGATCGCGAGGGGAGGAGGGAGGGGCTTATGGGGGGATACAAAAAGAATAACGTGTAATTAATAAAAAATAAAAAAGTTAAAAAAAGGATTAAATGATATGTGAAAATAATTATACATAATAAAAAAGAAAAAAGAAAGCAAAAAAATAAATAAATAAATTTAAAATACAAATCTAGAAGGTTGAAGATCAAAATATAGAAAATTTCCTGTTGTAGGGGAGGTCAGTGGACTAGGGAAGGAACAAAGATGAGAGAGGAGGCTACAGCCATGATACAAAGTGAATAAATTGTAATAAGGAATAATAATAATAAAGAAAAAATTAAAAACTTCTCTAACAGTCAAGCTAAAGGGGCCAAATCAGCTACTATTTGACTAATACTAGAGAATATAAGAAATGACTCTTGGGAGGGGATGAGGGAGCAGGATACAGCTGGGACACAGAGTTAACAAAATGTAACTAAAAAGAAAAATTAAATTAAAAAAAAAAGAAATGACTCTTGAGAAATATGTTGTAATAGGCAGCATCCTACATTGTACTAAATATGTAAAGACAGAGTAAAAAAATAAATCATGTGTGCTCTTAATAATAGGAAAGTGATATGTTGAAAAGATGGTCACTAGACTACTGTTTGGCTCCAGACAATGGGATTTCAATAAAGTTTTGTTTATTCTTTAAAAAAAAAAGTTTCAAAATCTGAATCTATCAGATAGAAAAGCAGACCTAAAGACAAATAGAAGAGCATAGTATTTTTATTTTAAAAAGAGTGTTGTCTTAAAATAACATAGGGAAGCTATCAATATTTTAACTGCTTTGGTTTTTCTGCATCCAAGAAAATAGTGTGAATCTGGGTGTTTTGGTGTATGCTTGTAATCTCAGCATTGAGAGAGGCAGAGGCAGACAAATCTCTTTGAGTTCAAAGCCGCCTGGTCTACAAAGTGAGTCCAGGACAGCCAAGTCTACACAGAGAAATCCTGTTTTGAAAAAACAAAACAAAACCCAAACAAACAAACAAACAACAGAAAAAAAAAATGAACTTCTCCCTGGCAGGGCTGCCTTGCCTGGTTTCAGGGGATGAAGATATGCTCTGTCCTGATGTGACTTGATGTGCTGAGGAAGGTTAATATGGAGTGAGGGAAGCTTCCCTTTTCTAGGGGGGAAGGGAGAGGAGAAGGAAGAAGGAGAAAAGGGGGGCTGGCTGGAAGGAGAGGAGGGAGGAGACACACTTGTGATGCAAAGCAAATAAAAAAGGAAAATAAAAACATTTTAAAATAGCATGACCATACGAAAGAAAATTGAAAGAATTAAAATGAGAAAAAAAAAAAACCTAACTGTACAAAGAATTACCAGAAGGTCTCTTAATAACTGATAAGACAGAAAACATAAAACCTCGGTTTCTGAGATCCGTTATGAATGATTGTATTCTCTAGGCCTCTAGGAGAGTTGCATATTGTTTTCTCCTTCCACATGCTGAATTACTGTACCATTCCCCCTAATGCAACATGTAGTTTAAGGCCTAAAGGTATTATCAGCAATATCTTTGTCCGACAATCTTTTTTCATTTTTTTAATGATTAATTTAGCAATTTGAAAACTTCATGCATCATAAAATATATTCTGAATATTCTTTATATTGTATTATAGTATCAATCTCACTGGATAATAATTTCTCTATAATTTTATGTTTCATTTATCTTAAAACCTAACATCAAATTAGTATGTGATGCACAGTTTGTGCTTAATAAGCATTTGTAAGCGTAGATGGACTAAAGTTATACAAAACACAGAAGAAAACCAGAAGCCTGTGTTTAAATAGGAGCATCGATAAAACAAGCAAAGGAAACGAAATCTCCTATCAGCATCACCTCACTTCTCAATGGCAGAGTGAAAGGGCTGTTTAGCAGTACATACCTAAACACAGTGGTGGTGTAGTCCACACCCCATCCCTACAAAAGGCCTCCGGAGACCCTTGTAGAAAATGGTTATCCAAACACCGGTATTCTACCGAGGAGCCATTTTCATAGGAACTGGCTGACGAGCTAACTATATCTCCATTTCTTATCACTGGAGGAGCCGCACACACCCCTTTAGATTCTGAAAAATAATTTTACAGAACACAATTGCTACAATGAACGTCCAGTTTTTGATGACTGCTACAAAAATAAAATGAGATATTTCACTAACTTAAAAATATTGAAAATATTTCTGCAATAAACATCACACTACATAATGTATTATCATAGTTAGAATTTCATGTTGTAAAACCTGAATACATATTTACAACTAGCAAATATTAAGGATATTATTAATATTTTCCCTTTTGCTCAAGCCAAAGATGAACATATATAAACATTTCCCTTAAATCATATACCTTCCATATGTATTATCTTGCTTTTGTCCCATTAAAAGAAATAGCCCAAAGATCCAGGGAATAAATAAAATCTCTCACATTCTGCCCTAAGCCCTTTCTTGAGACAAAGGTTCCCAGCAAGTCCTGAGTGAACGGAAGCTTTTCAAGGCTTCTGCATGAGGAACACCAGTCCTCTGACAGTTCTGGGGGTACTTACGGAGCCTCGCCATTTCCTGTCACAACTCATCATGCAGTGGGGATTGCTCAGCTTAGCCAGCCTTTGTGAGCGTGTGCTGACTGAGCTGAGACCTGAATCCCCTCCAACTGTTATCAGAAGATAAGGCTACAGACACTAACTGAGCAACACGTCTAAAGTTAGCCCGTTACCTCTTCTAACACACACGGGGTATCTCATATCTCCTCTATCGCACTGCACGGATACCTCGGACAGTGGGCTTCTTGGAGACAAGCCATATCCCTGTTTACACACGAAGTCTATTAGGTCTCCATGTAAAATCTTGCCCACATGTTCCCACTTCATCTGTATGTTATTCCTGTTCATGTGATCCACATCAATAGTGCATGGCTCTGAAAAACAAAATGTTCTTCTAAAATCATAGGCACGCTGACTAATATGTAAGTAATACATCATTTAAACAAATATTATAATGGGCATCAAAAGTAATATTTTACATTAGGCATTCACCCTTACTAGTAATCACACATCCATGTTAGATGAAGAAACATGTAGAGATACAAACAGGAACTGAGGGTATTTTCTCACTGGCTGTTATATCGAAGACTCATTTAGCTGCAGGTTTCAGCACATAGGCAAGTACAGGAGTCCATGGGGCAAAGGATTACTTACTTTTATAACGTTCCCCTAGAGCGCGGATGCTCTCAGGTAATACATAAGTTTACTGCTGGGGATGCTGACATGAGTTCGGCCTCGGAGGCACCTAGCTGGCAGCATTTAGATGGGATACCTGGACACAACTCAAAGCTGGTTTGGGGTGAGGGCAACAGATTTGCCCCCTAGGAGGGCAGAAATAAGGACGACCATTTTTATGTATCCTTCTTACAGCTGCAGGAGACAGAGACCAAGCAGCAGAAGAGGCACGGCTAGACCTTTGTGGAAGCAGCAGAAGGAAGAGGGTTCAGGGCTTGCTTTCCCAACACAGCGGGGCCTGTTAATTCTTTGTCTCAAGGTTCAGGGCTCATAAATTTCTCAATCTGGTCTTAAAGTATGGGCCCATGATATGACAACATAGATAATATAGAAATTTCATGTTGTGTATAGAAACATTTTTGTTTTGGTCCCAAGTTTGGGATGTGGGACTGATCAGATGGTCCACAGCAGCAGACTATTTGCCTCATGAGGGCTCTGAGAGGAGCTCTTTGCCAGCTGCAGATAGTTTGAATCTGAAGACTCCAGAGAGAGAATAAATGAGCCCAGAGAGTGTGGAGGAGCTCCAAGAAAGAACAAGGCTGCTGCTGCTTCTCCACTTTGGCTTCTGTTGCTGTTGATGAAGTGAGACAAGAGGTTAGAGATCTCCTAAAACGAGGACTGGACTGGCTCCCAGGAAATGAATGACCCTAGCCAGCAGGAAGCAGCTAAGAAAACTGTGCTCCTCTCCTACTAGCCCTTTCTCTCTCTTTCCTGTTTTTGGGATGCTGGAAGAAATTGGAGTGGAGTAGGGAGAAGGAAGTATAAAGAATGTAAATAAAAGAGTTTTGCTTTTTTAAGTATGCCAGCAACTAAAGGACTATATTGAAGAGATATGGAGACAGTGGGCAACTTTGTCCTGTCCCCGATTTCAGTGGAATTGAATTAAGTTTCTCTCTGTTTAGTTTGATGTTCGTTATAGGCTTGTTGTATATTGCCTTTACTATGTTTAGGTATATGCCTTGTATCCCTAGTCTCCCCAGGACTTTAAACATGAATGAGTGTTGGATTTTGTCAAATGCTTTTTCAGTATCTAAGGAGATGATTATGGTTTTTTTTTTCATTCAATTTGTTTATATGGTGGATTACATTGATGATTTTCTGTATGTTGAACCATGCCTAGGATGAAGCTTACTTGGTCATAGTGGATAGTATCTTCGATGTGTTCTTGGATTCAGTTTGTGTTTTAGTGAGTATTTTTTGTGTCAATGTTCTAAAGAGAAATTGGTTTGAAGTTCTCTTTGTTGGATCTTTGTGTGGTTTAGGTATCAAGGTGATTATGGCCTCATAGAATGAGTTTGATAATGTTCCTTCTGTTTCTATTTTGAAGACAAGCTTGAAGAGTATTGGTATTAGCTCTTATTTGAAGATCTGGTAGAATTCTTCACTGAAACCATGTGGCACTGGTCTTTTTTTGGTTAGGAGACTTTTAATGACTGCTTCTATTTCCTTAGGGGATATAGGACTATTTAATTTATTGACCTAATCTTGTTTCAACTTTGGTAAATGGAATCTATCAAGAAAATTGTCCACTTCATTTAGCTTTTAAATTTTTGTTGTGTGTAGGCTTTTGAAGTAGGACCTAGTGATTCTTTAGATTTCCTCAGTGTCTGTTGTTATGTCTCCCTTTTCACTTTTGATTTTGTTGATTTGGAGAGTGTCTCTCTGCTGTTAAGTTAGTTTGACTAATTTGTCTGTCTTGCTGAATTTCTCAAAGAACCAGTTCTTGGTTTCATTGATTCATTGAACTGTTCTCTATGTTTCTAATTTATTGATTTCAGCTCTGGATTTGCAGGTGTGCTATTAAGTTGCTTGTATGGGATGTCTCCAATGTCTTTATGAAGGCAGTTAGTATTTACTAACTTTCCTCTTACCATTGCTTTCATTGTGTGCCATAAGTTTGGGTATGTTGTACCTTCATTTTCATTGAATTTTAGCAAATTTTAAATTTCTTTATTTCTTCTCTGACACAGATGTCATTGAGTAGGGAGTTGTTCAGTTTCCATGTGTGTGTAGGCTTTTTGTTGTTTCTGCTGTTGTTAAGGTCCAGCTTTAGCCCATCATGATCTGATAGAATACAGGGCATTATTTTAATCTTCTTGTATCTGTTGAGGCTTGTTTTTTGATCTACTTTATGGTCAATTTCAGAAAAGGTTCTATGAGGTGCCAAGAAGAAGATATATTCTTTTTCGTTTTGGTGAAAATTGTGTAGATGTCTGTTAAGTCCATTTGATTAATGACATTTGTTAGTGTCATTATATCTCAGTTTGCCTTCTGTTTCAGTTGATTTGTCCTTTGGTGAGAGTGGGTTGTTGATGTCTCCCACTATTAAAGTGTGTGGATTGATGTGTGATTTAAGCTTTATTAATGTTTCTTTTACAAATGTGGATGCCCTTGTATTTGGGGCATAGAGGTTCAGAACTGAGATGACATCTTGTTGGATTTTTCTTTTGGTGAGTATGAGTGTCCTTCCTTATCTCTTTTGATTACTTTTGGTCGAGACTATTTTATTAGCTACTAGAATGGCTACTCTTGCTTGTTTCTTGGGTCTGTTTGCTTGGAAAACCTTCTTCCAGCCCTTTACTCTTACGGAAGTTTATCTTTGTGGCTAAGATGTGTTTCTTGTATGCAGCAGAATGTTGGGTCATTTTTAGACATACATTCTGTTGGTCTGTGTCTTTTTACTGGAGAGTTGGGTCCACTGATGTTGAGAGAGATTAATGACTAGTGACTATTAGTTCCTTTCATTTTGATGTTGATGTGGTACTTGTCTACTTTTAGTTTTGCTGTAGTGAAGTTACTTATTTCCTGTGTTTTCCAGTGTATAATTAGCCTTCTTGGGTTGGATTTTCCTTCTAGTATCTTCTGTAGGGATTTGTGAATAGGTACTGTTTAAATTTGTTTTTGTCGTGGAGTATCTTATTTTCTCCATCTATGATGATTGAGAGTTTTGCTGGGTGTAGTAGTCTGGACTGACATCTGTCTTCTTTTTGGGTATGCATGACATCTGTCCAGGTCCTTCTGGCTTTCATAGTCTCTGCTGAGAAGTCATGTATTATTCTGATGAGTTTGCCATTATATCTTACTTGGTCTTTTTCCTTGAACCTTTTATATTTTTCTTTGTTCTGTACATTTAGTGTTTTGATTACTATGTAGTGGGATGATTTTCTTTTCTGGTCTAATCTATGAGGTGTTCTGTAGGCCTTTTGTATGCTTATAGGCTTCTCTTTCTTTAAAGTGGGAAAATTTTCTTCCATGGTTTTGTTGAAAATATTTTTTGGGGCCTTGGAGCAGGGAATCTTCTTTTTCCTCTATACCTATTACTCTTATGTTTTGTCTTTTTGTGTTGTTCTTGATTTCTTGGATGTTTTATGTCAGGAAATTTTTTAGATTTAACATTGTCTTTGAAGGATGCAAAAATTTCTTTCATTATATCTTCTACACCTGACATTCTTTTCTTCATCTCTTGTATTCTGTTGGAGATGCTTGCCTCTGTGGTTCCTGTTTTCTTCTCTAAGTTCCCCCTCTCTAGGATTTCTTCAGTTTGTATTCTCTTTAATGTTTCCATTTTCATCTTCAGATCTTGAACCATTTTATTTCTTTTACCTATTTGTATTTTCCTGCCTTTCATTCAATTCCTTCACCTGTTTGTTTGAACTTTCCTCTATTTCATTCAGTGATTCAATTTTCTTTCTAAAAGCCACAATCTGTTTAATTGCAACTTCCTATATTTTTTATGGATTTTATTCACTTCCCCATTATCATCTTCATAAGCATAGTTTTAAGGTCATTTTCATGAGTTTCACTTGTGTTAGGGTATCCAGGGCTGTTTGCCTTTGGGTTACTGGGTTCTGGAGATGGCATATGGCATCTCTAGAACAAAAGCTTAAGCTTTTGTTTTTACACTGATTGTGTTTTTACACTGTCCTTTAGACATCTGGTTGTCTCCAGCACTGGTTGGTAGTTTCTGGTGCCTTCTGGAGACCTGGGAGAGGGAGCGGTGCAGGAAAAGTTCTGGGCAGGAAGCAAGATGTTTGAGCAGAAGCCCTCCTTAGATTGGTGGGTATGGTTTCTGACTGGTGGGTTATTTTCAAGGAATTGCTGTGGCTTTCCTCAGGTGTATGATCCTGTGGTCTACCTAGACTCTGCAGGAGCCCCAGGGCTCTCTTCTCACCAGCGGGAATCCCAGAGACTGCTGCCCACAACTGGCTTTCTTGCTCTGAAGTTAATGAGCTGCAGGTGACCAGACACTGTGCTCAGACACTGTGTTTGTTGGGTGCTGCCATCCTGAAGAACCAGGGAGCCCGAAGTTTCTCTCCCTTCTTCTCTAGGGAGAGAAGTTGAGCTTTGGAGTCATCTAGGGTAGTTCCTGTGGCTCCCAGGTGTCAGGAGGCCTGAGGTTAAAGCTGTATGCCCTATTACCCAGAAGGTATTCACCTGCTGGTAAGCACAGCATGCAGACTGGTGGCTAGTCTGCAGGAACCCAGGAACTCTCAAGGATTAGCCAGGTGACTTGAGGTCAGACCCAATTGTTTCCCTCAGGAAACATAGTCACTAGTGTTTTGGGGCCCACAGTTCGGTCTGTTGATCACTGTGCTGTCACTGGGGACCTGCTGATCTGACACAGTGTGAGATCTGTGCCACCATCTTGGATCTCTCCCCAACAATATTTCAAAGAAAGTTATGAGATGTAAAAAAGGTGACCATTTAGTGCAGAAGAAAGTGAATCAAAGTCATCAGCAATGTTCTCTGCTAAAAAAGATGTTCAATTCTCTCCTCCTGATTGTCTAAGGGTGTTACAGATAAGGACTACAGAGAAGAAGTCTGCACCCCTGTGAAACAGCACATGAAAAGGACCTCATCACAAACTTATTCTTAATGTCCCTGGATTGTTTATCAGTTGTGCCCCAAATAACCAATATATGTTATTTATATTTTTTCACAATAAAGTTAATATGCAAAAGACTTATGTAGATCCATACTAGGATGTGACACATCTCCTACTTAAATAAATCAGGGAAATGTATAAGAAATAATTTTTTTTGTTGTAAACATTATTTAAAAAAAAAAAACAACGTACTACCAAAATAAATTCAATTATGTGTTTTCATTCTTACCCAAGCAAACAGGTGGAGATGACCACTTTCCTTGTTCACAGCGAGATGTTTTTGATCCCCTCAATAAGTAATATTCATTGCATCTGTACTCCACCAAAGATCCTGTTGTGTAACTTGCTAGTAACCCATCAACAATAGCACCATTTGCTATGTCAGGTGGAGGCTTACAGTTCTCAATATTTTCTATGAAAAAGGATTGTTTGAAAATTTAGTAAACCCACAATACAGTAACATAGTTATTCAAAACATGGTCTCTCAATATTTGTACTATCACTTGGGAAAATTGTTCCTAAGTTAATCAGAAATAGAAAAGTTTTTAGCTTAAGCATTCTTAAATGTATTAATCAAGAACAAATTTGTGTACATTTCTTCTTTTTTTTGATGGTAAAGTGACTGCCAAGGATGTTCTTAAGTGTTTAAAAAGAACCTAAGAATTTTGGTTCATTCTAAAATTGTACTGAGCCGTACACAATACCATCTTCTTCCTTCTCCTTTTTTTCATACCTATTCTCTAACACACTGATGAAATATATCCTCTCTCCCAGTTCCTCTTTCATGGGATGATTTTTTTTGTATGTAATAAAAGGTAAGCATGGTTGGAAATTTTTTTGTAATATCTAATCAAAACATGAGAAATATGGTAGGAAGGGTGGCTAACAGAAGTGAATATGGCCTCAAGATATCCTTCAGTAAAATGAAACACCAATGATGTGCCCCTTAGAAGGTAGAAGGTTCAGAAAAGTAAGCTGCGAAATTCTAATCAGCAGGATTTACATCGGGTCTAGGAGAGTGCCCTGTATTGACCATAATCCATTGTGTGTGTGGGGGGGGGAAGCAGGTTATACTCATAGTCATGCACTAACCAGACATCCCTCTGCTTGCTTCTTTAATAAAACACATCGCACATAAGTGTGGTCATTTAAAGTGCACAGATCACAGAAGTTTCACAACAGCTTAGCACTAATGCACTTTAAATGATGTTTTTGATTCTGAATTGTTAATTTGCCCTAAATTCTATAGATACATCTACATACTCAAAAATTCACACAGTGGGTCCAGTGGCTCTGTGTCTCTAAATTTTGCAAGCATTAGTTGGCACTAATTTTGGAACTTGGAGGCACAGGTCCATGAACAGACAGATTAAACAGATGAAAGCAACACCATAGGCTGAAATGTTAGAAGTAGCACACCTACCAACACACTCGGGGGGGAGCGTCCATTGGCCACGGTTACAAGTTACTGTACTCGATCCTCGGAGTTGGTAACCCCTTTCACATTTGTATGTCACCTTATCCCCACTGTAGTAGATCTCAGAGTGTGGGTGCACGGTGCCATTCTCAATGGAGGGTGGCTGCTCACAGGCCACCTTCTCTTTTTCTTCTGTGAAAGCACAGTTAAAGAAAGAGACTAACCATAAGCACTTTAGAAGACATTTATTCAACACATAATCAAGTACAGAAAGTAGCCTGTGTAGACTGTGAATAAAGAGAAGGGAAACAATACATATGCATGAGAATGTCACCATAAAATTCATTATTAAATACACAGAATATTAACAAAAACTAATTTAAAAAGATTTTACCAACCAATACATTTCGGAGGTTCTGTCCACTTTCCGTTTTCACAGAGCAGCTCTTCTGAACCCTGAATAATGAAATTAAGTTCACATTCTATATGAACTATTTCTCCATGACGGTAAGTTGTTGAATGTGGTTGAATTTTGGAATTTAGAGGCACAGGTGGAGGAGGACATCGATTTCTTCTTCCTTATGTAAAAATATCAGCCTATTTAGCCATAGAATTTTTTAAAAAGATAAAGCTTTATTGGGGATATTTATGGTGTCAAGCACCATAGAAAACATGGCAGATAGACTTGAGGAACACCCTTGCCTAACTACTGTCTGACACTTCTCCATGAATGGGACATGTCAATTGTTTCTTAAGAAAAGACGATGAACTAGCATGTGGTCCTGTTACAGACACGATGGCCAACATAAATTCACAATGCCATTCTTGCTGAAAGACACTCTCCCCACTGGCTTTGAAGAATCAACCTGCCATCCTGTAGGAGGCCAGAAGGCAAGGGTTAGAGGACTACGTTGGCCAAAAGCCATCCATCAATACTGGCTCAGCAGCCAGATCATGGAAAGCTGTCAACACCTGCAATGGATTTGGAGTATTAGTGCCAAGCCAAGCCTTCAAGGTGGCCCTTACATAATGCAATAACCAAATGAAGCCATGCCCACACCCCTGACCTACAGAACCAGTAAAGCAATACTCCTGGGCCATCTTGAGTACTTTACAGTCGCCATCTCCTTTAGTCCTAAATAAATTTCTCACATATTTCATCCTGCAAAGCAGGATAAAGAAGCTAAGACTGTTCTCTTCCACTGTTACATCCACAACTTACTCTTCTGCGACTAAGTACCCCATTCAGTCCCCTTTGCAATGACACTTATCCTATTTAGGATCCAAATGAATAACTTCAGATGAGAGCCACACCTCAAAACCTACAGTCACTCCTTTAGTTCTTTTGCCACATAAGTTTACTATGCTGGCTCCAGGATTAGGATGAGGATATCTGGGGTTGTAAGTGTATTGCTTAGCACACTATAGTTATACACAATAACTATTAACTATAAAATTACAGACATGTGGCCAATACTGAGTTTGACAGGGTGCAGAACAGGCCGTGCATCTCTCATGGTTTTGAGACAATATGCTACAGACAACTTGCTAATAATTCCCCCCATACATTTACTACAAGGCAGTTGGACTCAACTAGGAAGTTGGTAGACCTTCAAAGCCATTGATCAATACTTGCAGTGCTGTGATAGGTACAGACACTGACACCCATGTCCTGTCCAGACACCTCTTCCTTCCTCTGGCATCTATCTCAATTATGCTTTTGTGTTTTACTTCCATGTCTTCAGCCTGCCTGTCAATAATAGCACTATTTCTTATATTACAGCAGAAATGGGAGATACACACCTTTTGCCTCTCATCCCGCATCAAATCCTCAGATTTCTATTTATTTTCAGAGCCAGTTCAACTATTATCTGTCATGTCGATGGATATGAAAGTGAGAATTCTCTCACGCTGTACTAATCAAAATTGGGAATGTTTACTCATACACTTGTCCTTGAGTTTCCTCTGACACATGCAGCCCTCTGTGCTATGAACTGGCCTCTTCTGAAGGTAGTCAGGGTGCCTCTTTGAACACAACCAGTGATTGAAATCCAATCTTAGCTATTATGTGTCTGGACTGCTCTAACTAGATGGCTGACCACATTTTCTGTTTTTGTTTCACGCTAATATTCTTCTGTTGCGTGCGCTTCCTACTCCACAGTTTTGGAAACGGACTTTTAAACATCAAGAAATATATGGCCAATTAATAAAGTGCCTCACGCAGGCACAGACTGAAAATATGTAACACATATTTTTTTTTAAATATTAAACATAGGGTTGGGGAGATAGTGGGGTTGATAAAGTTGCTTGCCTGGTAAACTTGGGGAGTTAAGTACAATCCCCAGCACCCCTGCAGAAGACAGACACAGTGGAGGTGCCACAAGGGAGGCAGAATGGAGGAACCTGATAGCACTACCTAAACAGACCAACCGATTCAACAAGCTGAGGTTCAATGGGAGGACTTCTGTCCAACACTTAAAAGGAGGGAGACCAAGGGAGGCACTGGGCAGGAACCACTAGTCTCCCATGCACACATGTGCACACACCCACACAAACACGCGTACAAACTACACACATATCTACTCAGATAAGTGCATGCTAAATATAGCACATAATGCTTACTACACAAATGCATACAACGCTTAGTTTCTCCACATAGAATAGTTCATCGACTTGATATGTAGTAATTATTCTAAAAAATAGTTCTGGAATTAGAATTAGATATGGTCATTCAGAGATCATAGAGATTAAAGCTAATTTTCTAAGTATAAAATTTTTCAAAATTACCTTCACAAATGGGAGATTCTGGATACCAGCCAAAGTTATAGCACTGAATTAAATCAGATCCACTTAGATAATAATTTTCATGACAGAAAAATTGAACTACATCTCCTTCTTCATAGGTTTGTTTTACAGGATGAAAATAGCCATTTTCTATTAATCTCAAAGAAGAGCACATTAACTCTAAAAATGAAAGAATAGATCAAAAATAACAAAACATTTAATTTTTCAAATAGTATAATTCACTTCTATTTAAAATACATATCTGGAATAGATATTAAAACAATTGCTATATTCTGCTCGATAAGCTTACTAATATATTTTATCTTGGTAACTATCAGCAGTTTGAATTGAACTGAATTCCAATAGCTACAATGAAGGTTTTCTATTTGAGAGCTTTAAATGACCAATGTCTACTATTCAATAAATTACAACTGAAAGCAAAATTAAGCGACATGGAATGTTACTGACAGAAGCACTTGTATGAGATGAACCTGTACAGTGAGAAAGTTCTCCCTGAGCACCTACTGTGGCACTGTGGCCTAAGGGACCACCCGTGTGCATGGCACTCTGCCTCCTCAGCCTGCTTCCCTGCAGCGCTGGAGTATCCAGGAGCACAGGTATACTGCACTCTGCCCTTCACTTTGAATATTCTCTGCGTCGTCGAATAATTTCCATGATCCAACTCAGGGGCCAAACATGTCTCTGAAAAGGTAAACATTTATTTTATGAACCCTGGTAAGCTTTGTCGATGTCCCAGACTATTAACAAGAAGTCACAATGGGTATCACATAGAATGTTAGCAATATATGGCAAAGTCAACTGATGCAAAATTGAAAACATCACTTTGCCTTTGTCTCTGTGATTTCATTTTCACACTCTTGTAAGCTAACTCTTATCAGTCTTCTACTTTGCAATATTGGTCAACTGTACTTGACCAAAGGCCTCCTTTCAAATGAAGTCCTGTGAAGCTTGTGGGTTATGAGGACTCTGCCACTAGGGGAAATGGCTGCAACTGGCAAGGTGGAGCATGTTCAGACCTCAGAAAGTTCAAAGTTGAGACTGCAGGAGTGAGGACTGCTCCCTCCCTGTCCTGAGGTTGCATGCCCTGGTGCACTTATGAGCCTGCATGCCCTGGTGCAGGACAACCCCCAGGTCTCAAGGTAGTCACAGGTAGTCATGTGGCTGGCACCTGGATGCAAACAGAGAGCATCACTGGCATCCCGGCCACAGCCAATAAAGTACATTCACCCCCAAAACCCCCCCTCCCCAGGGTTCATATAGTACTTGTTTGCCATGGAAGGATCACTAACAAACAAACCAGCACAAAATAGTGTCTAAGAGTTGTTGTTTCATTGGTATAGCTCTGAGCTAAGAGAGCTATAGCACTAAAATCCTTGGAGAAGCCCCTCCCCCTTTGCCCCCAGCTGGACTGGAATCCTGCAGAGCTACCTGTCCTTACTCTGTTCCCCTCCCTCTTGACTAGGAGACTGGCAGTGTCTGGACACCCCAAGAGACAGAACAATATTTTGATTAAGTATGATTTATAATAAATGGAGGGTTTTTTTGTTAGCATTTGAGCACTTTTTTTTACTAGTCCAAAGTAAGATCAGATGAGGCTTGCTGGAATTAAGAATACATGGATTAACAGAACACAAGCATTTGAAAATAACAAAATACTGTCAACTTCTCACACAGAAGAGACATGGTAGAAAATACAGAATAAAACTGCCTCTCAAGTAAAGCATTACCCTTGTAGCTGAAAAACGTTGCATTCTTGTGTATGTACCTTGCTCCTTCCTGCAGGCTGGTTGAGAAGACCACCCATCAGAAAGACACTGGACAACCTCCTCATCTTTTCCTCCAGTGGTTTTGTATCCTGAAGTGCAACCATAGCGCATATTCTCTTGAATTTTGTACAGCACTTTCCTGTCAGCGACATAACCGTTCCTTAGGTCAGGCTTCAGACATTTTTCTGTGTTGTAAAAATAAATGTGTTTAGTTTCATGATGACATTACAATGTCTATCTGCTCAATAATTAAATCTGGATTATATAACTTTACTAAATTGAAAAATTAACACACACACATAATGTTACTCTTAGTTGGAATTTTGAGAAGTAAAATTATTTTCACTCTAGAATTCCTTGATTTAGTTTAATTTGGAAATATCTTACATGCTCTGCATAATGTTCCTTTGGAAATGGATTCCATTTGACATCAACTGTTTTTGTATTTACAAATTTCAATTTTTTTTATTCTTGACACATCTATGTCTGTGAATTTATTTTTTTATTTTCTTTTTTATTTATTTTTACATTTTTTTTCTTTATTAATTACACTTTATTCACTTTGTATCCCCCCTGTGGTTCCCTCCCTCCTCCCATCCCAATCCTTTCCTTCTTCCACCCTCTGCATGCATGCCCCTCCCCAAGTCCACTGATAGGGGAGGTCTTCTTTTCCTTCCTTCTGACCCTAGTCAACTAGGTCTCATCAGGAGTGGCTGCACTGTCTTCTTCTGTGGCCTGGTAATGCTGCTTCCCCCTCAGGGGGAGGTAATTAAAGAGCAGGCCAATCAGTTCATGTCAGAGATAGTCTCTGTTCCCATTACAATAGAACCCACTTGGAGACTGAACTGCCATGGGCTACATCTGTGCAGGGGTCTTAGGTTATCTCCATGCGTAGTCACTTTCTGTATGTATTTCTCCTCTTAACACATCTTCTTTTGGAAAATGCGCTTGTGCAAGTAAAAGTAATTTCTTCTTGATCTACTTGATGTTTTATTCCATTGTTTCATAATGTAATCAAAACATTCTTAATGGATCATTAAATAATTCTAAACTATCTTCCTGTAAAAACTTTATTCATTCATTATTTCAGAAAATATTTTGGTATCAATTTACTGCACAGGATCCAGGAGTTAGCAGTTGTAGAATGACAAAGTCATATATATGCTCCCCAAAACTTTTGAGTTTACAATCAAGTTTTTGGTAAGTATATGCAAAAGTAAGGTACAATATTATAAAATTACCTTCATGTTAGAAATCCCTATAATTTTTATAAACCACATTACTGTAACTTCTTGACAAAGCTATCTAGAAGGGTTAGGAAATTTGTTAACGGTTAATATTAGCACAGACACGTTTAGTAATAGCTGTATGGCACAAAGTTCCTACTGAAGCAATAGTAACTCCATTTTATGCAGAAGAAACAGGTTAAGAATTTTCGCATCATTCTTAGAAGGATGGTGCAGAAAGCACATGTAATCAGTTGACTACAGAGATTCTCTCTTGACCTTTCTCTTCCCATGCCATTCTCTGTAATGTTCTATGTCTTAAGATAGCAAGTTCAAAGAATATGACTTCTCTCTATGTAAAGTGAGATTTACATTATAACTCTGTGTTTATGTTAATAGAAAAAAATGTCATGGTTAAACTCTGGTCTGTCCTGAAATCACAGAATGAGTGGTTATGAAATACTCTGTTTACTAGGTATATTAACCTCAGCTACTACCATACCAAAATTCCTCTTCTAAATGGAAATGACTGAATGTAAGCCTTTTACTCTGGAAAACAGGAATTTGGGGGATTCTTGGCTCAAGACATTTTACCTAAGCACAGGGATGCCAGTGATAAAATGACACATAGTGCCACTAAGCAATACAATGAGGCCATTATGTTACTACTCACAAATTGAAAGCCAGTGTGCAGAAAAACACAGCTTCCAGTAGATAGAGAAATGAGAAGTGGCCATGTAAATGAGTAACAAATAGACACACACACAAAAAAAAATACTAATAATAAAAGAAAGAAAAACAAAACAAAAAATAGCTCATCCTTTATGATGCTAGGTCTTACATTTCGGCTTCCTATTAAAGACTGTGAATATGAGAAGTTCCTCCTTACTTACACTAGCCTTTTACTTGTACAGATGCATCTGTCATTTCCAGTGTGAAAAAAATAATAGTTTTCGACATTTCTTCACAAGGACTATTAAAAACAAAGAAAATGACTTATGGATATAAGTTCATCATTTACTGAATTTCATGGATGGTATTTTACAACAGTAAGTTTGCTGTTATCTATACTAAGTTTAATCACTGTTCACATTTAATATAAATAAACATTTTCTTCTTACAAACTAGTTTATAAGCATTGAGCTGACACCGAGGAATGACTTACTGAAGCACCTTGGCTTTGGAGACCAGCCTTCTGTTGTACACCTAATTTTCTCTTCTTGCTTTCCACTTTCGGTTGCATAGCCAGCCAAACAGAAGAATGACAGTTTTTTGTCTATGCTCATTGGGAAGTAAAAGCTTTTAAATGTATAATAATATTGGGCAATCCTTCCATTTTCCACAGTAGGAAAATCACACTGTTTCTCTGAAATGAGGAAAACTCAAGCTGAAAATGGAAAAACATGTAAACCCATGAAACTTGATGAAACAACATTCCTAAATATTTTTTTTTGCAGATTCTTTAGTTTGCACTTATTTCCATAACCTAAGTTTAGAGGTGATATTTTGACAATCTAAGTATCTAATATCATGCCCTTCCCTCTTTACATAAGCTGGCAATTCTGAACAGTTGTGTCACACAGAGTAGCTAACAGGTGATTTCTTCTTGGAACCTTGTCCTAGCTTTGTAGAACAACACTCTCATAGACACAGAGTGACATCACATATGCATTTTCAACATTTCTGGAAGTCACATTGGTAAGAGTAAAAATAACAATAAAAGCTCAATTCATTTTAATAACAGGTTTTATGTAATCTAATGTCTTGAAGTGTTCTATATTTTTTGTTGTCACTTTAAATCCAGCAGATATTTTGCTCACAGAAGAGCTCTGCTTGGACCAGCTGTTTTCAGTGTGCAATAGATGTAAGCTGACACTCTGTATTGGCAGGGAGTTGATTCCAAGACTCTCTTGTAGTTGCCAAAACCCAGAGATGCTCAAATCTCTCGTGGTGCAGTGATTAAAATTTCCATACAGCTTACACATATCCACCATTTATTTAAGTCATCCCTAGCTACTTAAAAAATAGTATAATTAATGTCTGCCCATCATTTTATGAATGTGAATTCAAATTCAAGTTTTGTTTTTTGGACCTTCCTGGGCTTTTTTTTTTTTTTTTCAAAGATATCCATCTGAAGTTGGATGAACCTGCAGATGGGAACCCAGAGATGCAGGTTGCCAACCTTGTGTGGCTTGTGTCTGCTATATCAGATGGCACAGTTCTAGAACAGATGAGGGTCCTTGAGATATGGAAACTTACACAATTGTGAAATAAGAGGCTTGTCATTTAGAAAAGGGCCATATAACCAATTAAAATAAAAACTTTCAAAGAACAACTTTGAAAACCAGAGAACAAACATTTAGCTTGACTAGTCATTAGAAAATTCACACTCAAGTCACCATTATATTACTGTAATACCACTAAAATGGCTGATAGGAAAATGACAAATTCTTACAGTGAACGAAGAAGCAGGACCCCTCATGCATGAGAAAACATGTTGGAGAGATTAATTCTGTATGGCGACATATAAGAAGTTACCTCATGGAAAGTTACACACTGAGTTCAGAAAGAGAAAGTGTGATTATATCAGATTGGCACTATTCAAAACACTATTAAACTTCAAACAACCTAAGTTCATTTTAATGGCAGCAAGGATAAATGGCACAGTTTAGAGCAGTGGTTCTCAACCTTCCTAATGCTGTGATCTAATGCAGTTCCTCACATTGTGGTGACCCCCAATCATAAAATTATTTTGTTGCTACTGTGATGAATCAGAATGTAAATATTTGATAGGCAGGATATCTGCTATGTGACCCTCCAAAGAAGTCGAATTCCATAGGTTGGCTAGTTTAGACAGCTGTCCAACAGAATGGCCTTGACAAAAGCCCACAATTTTCAAATCATCCTCAAAAGCATAATGGTAAATGCAAGAAGCGAGTTGCATATAAGCCATGTGCCTTGATTGAGGAGGCACAGTAAGCCATGGTAAAGACGTCAGAATGGTCACCTCTGTGTTTTGCTGCCTTAAGTGGAAAACAATGATAGCATCGGTCAGGAGTGAGAAAAATAACAACAAACAAACAAACAAACAAAAACAGGACAGAACCATAGGCACCGTAACACTGTTGGCATCTAATGAAGCATGTACAGTAGAGGTCCCCAAGAATTCTAGTATTTCCCAAACGCAAGCACGAGGAGTTCATCATGGAAAGACCCAAAGTAGCCCTGCTATGGTGAAGAGTGATGATCCCAAGGGACACTGTTCTGGTCAGAAAGGGCAACACCAACCAATGAGCAGACTGTCCTGGGCTATACATCAAATTTGTATATCAAAATTGATATCTCTAAACAATTTGATTTATAGCATTATTTTTGTCAGAATCACCTCTGGAACGTTTTTCTCCTCTAGTACTCTTGTTTCTATAATCAACTGTGTGGCCCTAAAAATAATCACTACTTAATAACTCCAGCCCCCCAAATGCATCATGAGTAGAAATCTTGCTGGTGGTTTTGTTCTTTTTCAAATTTCCCTCATTAAACTCTTGCTATAAGAGGAGAGAACTGAAATCTTGCAAATGTTAGTATTACGCATGAATTCTAGCCTAAAATTATACTTAAGGCAAATACATGAACTCCAAACTACTTTATATTAACCAGAAAAATCCCCTAAAGTAATTAGATCCTGATTCTCCAGGCCTCCAAATCTAAAAAAATAAAGGAGTTGGCTTTGATTGTTCAAGTTGCACTACTAAAAAAATACCACACTTGTTTTGTCTGAAGAAATTTTATCAAAATGTTTAAACAAGTTACAGTTATTTAAAGCTTGTATTACAAATTAGTATATTAAAATGAAATATTAGATTAAAATTCAAATAGTATGACATTTAGACTCTCCATTTTCCATTTATATTTTAGAGAAAAAGAAATACTACTAAATTAACTTTACCTTCTGCATAGAGTTCTCCTGAGATGGTTAGTATAATAAGAAATGGCAAGTATCTCGACCTCATCTTCACCAGTACGTCTCATGAAGATTTTTACAATCCTAAAGGACCCAGGATTTCATTCCTAAGTACACAATACTTCTGACAAAACAAGTTAATAATTACAATGTCTGTCTAAGTGCCTTTGGAACAAGCTAACATTTTAAGTAAAATATTCTCAAATAATTTAAAATAATGTACTGGTAGTAGCTAACAATATTTTTCATTCTGGGTTTTTTTTTTTTAAAAAAAAGAGGCAACAATGCCAATAGCATAAATAATGAATACAGGCTGAATAAGGAAGGGTACCTTTCAAACCAGATTTCCAGCTGTACATTCCTAGGGCAAAGTCCACCTGCTCACTACTGTTTACCAGCTTTGAACAGAGCAAAGGTGAATTTAGGAGCTTGAGGTAATGGAGACCAGTGTGAAAATACATTGTCTGGACTGCAGTCCCCAAAGGCAGAAATGATCTTTTCTCAAACTTTGACAGGAAATTACCAGTAAAGCACAACAGGCTCTGTGTTTGAGCTCTGTGACAAGAGGCCAAATGAATACCATTACAGTATCACTCATCTAGAAGAAAGTTTTGAACGGCCACTATGGGCAAGTCATAATGTCCCTGTCTCCACGGCTCACATGCTTCCTACCTAGGCCTCACTTCTGAAAACTATTTTGTTGCAGAATTAAGGGTCCTACACATAACCATTTGAAAGATATATTCAAAGCATAGCAGTGCCCAGTATTATACTTCTGTTGTGGCCTTCATGTCTTATGTGTGTTATATTGGTTAGGTTCCTTAGCTAACCTATCTTTGAATCTCAAGAGCGAGTCCTAATTAGCAATGGTGCACACTCCATCCAATGCTTTGATGCAGTTACTAGTCTCCTGTTGGTGCTTGTGTGTCCCCACGGATATCCTGGTCTCACTTTGCTATCCTGTGATGCTGATTTTACTGAAGCAGTTTGGAAACTTCTTTGCTTCTTTCTGGGTGGGTGGCCAACATTTAAGCAAGATTGGTTTAGTTCATCTCAAAATATTTGGAAGAACCACCTATGTTACTCTCTAAAAAAAAAAAAAAATAACTCTTTGGAATATTTTCTGTTCTCATTTTCTTATTCAGTTTGAGTCTGTTTTAATTTTTCCAATTTCTTCTTGATTCAGTCTTGACAGGTATTTTACAAGCTTATTTACTTCACAGTTCTGGAAAGCCCAAATGTGTGCTGCTGGTTATCAGCTTATGACTTTTATTTGTATTTGTCTGCCATACCTCCACTTCCTCTCCACTAAATGGAATGTTTTTGTTTCCTTCATTATCAGCCTCCTGTTTGTATACTTAAATCATGTGAGTCTCTCCTAGACAAGAGAAAGGATAATTGTAGTTTTTTTTTAATCCATTTATTTTTAAGAAGATTTTTATGTGTATGAGAGTGTTTCCCTATATGTCCCCTTTATGTTCACCATATACATGCATGCCTGATGTCCACAAAGTCCAAAAGGAGTGTTTCTGGAACTCGAGTTACAGATGGATATAAATGGGTACTGTAAAACAAACCCATTCCTCAGCAAAGGAAGCAAATGCTCACTCCAGTCCCTACTCTATTGTTTTTAAAATCTAGCATTTTTGTCTGTTTTCATTTAAAATAACTGAAAGACATAAATTGCTATGCTGATGGCTGGAACTAAAATAATTATACTGAGGTTACTGACAAACTGTATCAATGCCTGTTCCCTAGCATATGTAAATCCTAGCTTTGACTCTTTCCTATGTCAAAACTAGGAATCTAGAAGAGGGCATGGTGGGGGCGGAGGCCCTTGAGGCAAGGGGGATGTAAAATGAAAGTAAAGAGAAGCAGTACTGGAGACAGAAAGATTCAAGGATGGACAGTGATGGGAGTGGGGAAATGAATTACTAGCAGAAGACTTAGCCAAACAAAGGGTACACGAAAGTTATATGGACATACAACTCAAGAAAAACTCAATTAGAGCAAATAGTACAACACAACTGACATGAAAGGAGAAGGGGGAAATACTAGGAGTTAAAGATTGAAGTGAAGATGAGGTTGTTGGCAATAGAGGAGGGGAGGCAATAGATTAGCTACAACTTAAGAATACATGAAGCCTTACAGAAATCCATTAGTTTGTAGGTTAATTATATATATTTAAAGGGAATACCTGTGTGGGTGCACATTGCTGCTCCCAGAAGACAGGGGTCACTAAATGAAAACCTTACTGTTAGGCATGGGATATAACCCTCTGAGTTACTGGTTAGCAAAGAACCAGAGGCATCCCCAAACACAGGCAAGTGCCATTTCTTAGTGGCCCAGCATATTTAGATGATAAGACTCTATTGCTGAAAATACCACTCACTTTGGATTAAGGACATAGAGAAACCAACCTCAAACTGACTAGGAAACTCTCTGATGGTTAGCTTATACAATGCCAGAGGTGCTAGGCAGGCTATTGGGGGAAAAAAAAATAACTACAGTCTTACCCAGAACCGGCCCCTGCATGCTTCAATATTGGCATGTTGGTAAGATGTGTCCAATAGGACAACAGTGAGATGATGGCTATGGGGCAAACAACAGTTTTCTGATTGAACTGTAGCCTGTTCTACAGGAGAGATTTCATGCCTGGTACAGTAAGCATCATGGACAGATCATGGCTGTAAGAACTTGCTAAATGGTCAGCCTGTCAAAGTACATTCTAAATATTTATGTTCATATGCTTAGATTTGAGCTGCTCTCAACTTTGGTTAGAAAAGCTTCTTTATGCTGTAGGTTATTCAAAGTGGCCAAGTATAAAAACTGAGCACTCAACCGTGGGCGGATCATTTACATCAACCTTCTATCACCTAAGACTCAGACAGCTTTGCAGAAGAGCAGAAAGAATGTAAGAGGTTGCAGATGCGGAAAGACAGCTACGAAATACTGACCTCTGACAGGGCATTATTTTTACATGCATCAACTCATAGTTTCTGGGGTTACATGCATGAGACCTGCACAAAATTCAGTCAGTCAAAGTTCTAGCATGCATGGGGAAGGGGCCCCAAAGGTTCTACCCCAAGAGAGAAGTTATTTGCCCTTGATGGTTGCTGAGGGAACTGCAATCACCCTCGCTTGGGTATGTGACTGCTTTTAGGTTGTCTAAGCCCTGTGCATGACCTCAAACTCATGTGCATATGGAAAGCACTGATTGGACTCAGGAGTTATCAACAATTTTTTAAAAAGATACCAAGTTAAGAGTGTGAGAGGTACGAGGAGGAGTTTGAGGAAGACAACAGTGGATGGATTTAATCAATACATATGTTTGAAAATTTCAAAGAATAAAAATATTTTGTAAATTAGCTATTTTGCTGTTTACTGTTTTGTTTTCTCGTTGGCTTTATGTCCTGATTATCTTTGTAATGTTATGCTTTCCTTTACTTTGTAGTACATCAGGTGTCTTCTGTGTGCTGTGTGTCTCCAGTGTGTCCACTATGGAGCACCGAGCATTTTACAGCACACTGTCTTAAGGTGATAATAGCTAGTCATCAGAAACATTAAGTAGCAATCAAAATAAACTGCACACACACACACACATGCATACACACTGTATCCCTAGCCATGTCTTCCTCCATATTCAACACATATATTCAACCAAATTTATGGAAAATTTTCCATACGAACCAAATTTTCTAATACCAACTGGGCATCTGATAATTAAATTATGCCCTGAAGACCTTACCCACAGCTTAAGATTAAACTCCAAGCCATTGTATTATTTCAAATGGTTTACTATGATACTCATACTTCTGACTTGAGTATAAATTGAGATTTCCAGCAATCCCCAAAACCCTTCTTGGGGTCTTATGGTTTAGTGTAAATACCCACAAAGCTCAAGGAAGCCAACAACTTAAGTTTACCAGTTTACTAAATGTAAATGATATGTCAAAGAATAGGCTAAGATCTAAATGAGTGTGTGCATAGGAGCTAAATGAGTCCTCAGTGGCTTTGAACTTGAGATGGACTGCACTAAACTTCTGGTACATGAATGTATCTAATCCTGGAGGCCTCACAAATCCTGTATTTTGCAAGGATCTATCTGTGAAGGGGAAAGATTTTGCCAATGGGCTGGGCGCAGATAGGGTTGAAATAGAAAGGTTGGGGACTGAAGAGAAAATACTGGCAGAAATGACTGAAATCTGGATGCATTTTGGGGGCATGGCAGAAAGCTAGTACAATGGAAGCCCCATAGAATCTAGAAGAGTAACCATAGCAAAGACTCTCAGCAATGGTGAACATGGAACCTGGACCAGCCATCTTCTGTAACCAGGAAAGGCTTCAGAATAAGGGATTAGGACACCAACCCAGCCACAAAACCTTCAACCTACAGATTGTCCTGCCTGCAGTGTTCTGGGACTTGCCTAGTAAAATTGTCATCATAGAGATCACAGAGACTTCATCCAGGAACTAATGGGAGTAGACACAGAGTCCCACAGCCAAATATTAGGTGGAGCTTAGGTAGTCCTGCAGAGAAGGGAAAGAGAATTGGAGGAAACAGAAGGGTCAAGGGACACCATGAGTAAGAGGCCCATAGTCAACTCACTGGGACTCATGAAAATCAGGAACCCTTTATGAATTTGACCTAGGTTCTTTGCATGTGTTATGGCTAGTAGGTTGGTGTTCTTGTGGGATTATTGACAACAGAAAGGGCTTGTAGGCCCTTTTTCCTCCCACTGGGTTGTCTCATCCTGCCTTGAGGTGATTGTATGTGTGCCTTCTTACTGTAGCTGATGATGCAATGTTTTATTGATGTCCCCGGGAAGCCTGCTCTTCTCTGATGGGAGGGAAGATATGGAAGAGGGGAAAGTGGGGGTAGGGGAAGGAAAGGGAGAGGAAACTGCAGGCAGGGATGTATATATGAGAGAATAAAAAAAAAAAAACATCCTATACTTCAAGGATTCCTATGAAGTTTTTATTAAACAATTTAGTAGCTTGTAATATATACATTTTTATTTTTGTACAAAGTCATATCTAACCAGTTTACACTGACAGTAAAAACTGCTCCATGTATCCATGATTGGTGTAATTTTTTATAGTCCCACAGTGAAAATGTTTCCATTTACTGATATGGAATGCCAAGGGTATCCATCAACAGTTGAATAGCTTGCACTGAATTTGTGATTTCTTCCATATTATCACGCCTTAAAACCCACTGTGGCTTAAGTCTGTTAAAAACAGAGAGAGTGAAAATTAGTGAAGTGTTTCTGTCAAAGAGTTACCATTAAAATGTGGGAGAGCTTTATATCACTGCTTATTACTAACTATATAACATATATCTAAAAGATGATGCTTGCTTCTTTGTAGCTTATGCTATTTGCTTCCACCCACTGCCTTTTCTGTTCATCTACCAAGCTCTCAAGGCAGTATCCTTGGTGAAACTGGTTAAATCTTTACTCAGATCTTGCCACCATTCTTAATTCTTAATAACATTAGCATCCTTATATGACAAAACAGCCCACAGCCTGGACAATGTTATTTTCCTGCTGTCCCGTGAACACTTTCTTCCTGTACTTCCCTAACCATTCAACTGTCCTTTCTCACAGGCACAAACTAGATTTTGCCTTCATCAGAAACAGCATGGCCACTGGATCTTAGTGTCATCCTTAAACTTCTATTCTGAAAACCCCACTCCTGATTCCATCCTGTCACATGCCTTGTTGAAGCCTCTAAACCATATTTTCCAGCTTACCAAGGTCTCCAATTCATTCAACCCAAAGTGTACACAATAGTTCATCAGGACACAGTGCCCAAATTCTCTTAACTAGCATAGATATATCAATAATATCTTTTGAAAATGCTACCAACTTGATTTCTTCTCCTATGGCATTCATCTGGAAAATCCAATTGTGTTCCAAAACTACATAAAAATATGTTTTTCCATTCCTGCACAGAATACTGGCAATGAAAAATAACAGAATCTGGCTTGCCTCTTGGGTCAATCCAGGTTTTAAAGAGACATCTGAAATTGCATAGCATCCTGCTTCGCGTTTTTCTCTCCATAATGACTACTTTCTTCGTTGCTTCTTTTCAGAGGTCTCTGTACCCTCTCAGGTGCTTCTGAGTTTGAATTTATTATCACACAAATGTCATTGATAATTGAGAAATAGGTGAGGAAGTGTCATGTATCCTCTCACAGAAATCTCTGTGTATTCCTAGATATCTTACTGTTCTTTCCTATTTGATAATTAGAGAATCTGGACACAGATAGATAATAAGACCAAATATGGCACACACAATGAGGTAATTTCCGTGACAGAAGGGGGAACATGATTCTAACGATGGTCACCTTCATCTGGCCTTAATGCAATAGAAATCCCGACACCAATGTTACTCTGATTCCTGCTGGGACCTTGGTTCTCTCCTGCTCAGCCACACAGATAGCTTTCTAATGGTTTACTCGCATTTTGCTTCTATGTCAAAGATTACCAGGCTTTCCCAAAACAAATCCTATGATTCGAATGCCTCCCATTCTGTCATGTCTTCTCCAACTTTATTTTTCTTTCTTCAGGAACTCAATGTGAACATTATACACAGTGATAAATACTTAACCCACCAAGCTTACGGTAATTTGTAACAGCTGTCCACAAAGCCTTAGGAAGAAAGAACTTATCTATAAGAAATTTAGAAATTGGTGTAATTATGGAAAGAGAGGAGGCTGACATTTTGGCCAACAGGGACTTTGACAGTTGTTATACAATATATTTTAATTTTAATATGGAAAACAAGTGGTATAATTATAACCAGCTTCTTAGCATGCTTTTAACACCATTTAACACTGAATTTTTTGAGTAACTAGGCAATGTTCAAAGCTACAGTAACGATGCTTCATTATGTACTTAGAACTCCTCGCAGTGTTCTCCTCCTGCGCAGAATGTTCACAGCATTTTGCTTTGGTAAATACTAAATGAATCTATTGCACATGAATTTGCAGACTGCTTTTAACTGCTTACCTCAAAATTATTCTGGTCTTCACAGATCTTTCTGATATACAAGCAAAGCCAGTATAGGAATTCTGCTTCTGCTTATCAAATAACCCTTCTTTATTCATTTTATGCTTAGGAACTGTAAATTTGTAGAGACGATAAATACGATCGATGACTTTTGATCTACTATGTGCATCCTAAAAAAAAGAAACAGAAAAAAAAAAAAAGAAGGAAAATTACACTTGTAAAAAACTGGTAAGAATTAAATGTTTTTCTTTCATAGAACAACCAAATCATGAATCATGAATACTATGATTTTCAGCTTCTAAGAATCAGGAAGAATGCTCTCTAAATTCACCAGGTAGATTGATTTAAATTATTAACTAATTTAATATGCAAGTTAGTAACTAGGAAAAACTATACTCAAAAGGTTAGACATAAAACACAGACATTTAAGACTTTAGCCAATCCACCCATCATGTCCAGAGACCAAGTCTCATGATTCTTCCAAAAAGACTGTCTTGGTGTCAGTGACACAATCCCAGGTGATATGTAGTCCTTGGGGAGGAGGTTGGGCACATCCTTGCTTCCTGCCTAAAGTCTCCCTTAGACACACATGCTCTCCCCAAATCATTCTCTATCAGTAGCCAGAATGACATTAAAAGCTGCACTGGAGCACAGTGTCACAAGCCTGTCTACACAGCCAGTTCTAGACCAGCCAGGGCTACAGAGTACAATCCTGTCTTAAAACAAAACATATATCAAAACCAAATCAGCAACAGCAACAGCAACAAGCAAACAAACCTCACACCAAACATATTCTCTGGCATAAAATCTTCAGTTGTTTCTCAATCTACTCAGAAAGAAAGACAGAGTCTAGGGACAGGCTATGGTTACTGTAAGTCAGCGGCTGGACCTAGAGGCTCACTGGTCTCAGAGCTGAAGTCTCACATCTAAACATGGTAACAGCAGCAGGCCAGGGCTAGGGTCAGGACAGTTACATAGACCTGTTCTTAACATGCTGGGATATGTTATTCTTCCTCATTAGTTGCTTACATGGGTGTAATAAATTCTACTGTCAGAGTTCAGCTTTTCTTTCTCTGGACGAGCTTCAGAGCCATGTGAGCACTAAGCATGTGCACTGTTAATGAGCCATCCTTCCAGCCCTGGAGACAGGTACTCCAGGATTAGAGAAATGTCTGTGGGAATTCATTTCTGTCATTCACTAAAGCAGGTGTGAATACATATAAAGCTCTATATCAGTTTGATAACCAAGGGGAAAATATGCATGTCAAAGACGTTAACAGCTTCGGAGAAAGGGGCCTGATCTACTCACTGAAGCACAATGCTCTGTCTTCAACAGCACTGCTAGTAAGCAGCAAGTTCTTGTGAAAATGCTCGCACTCTTCTCAGGAACTCTGTCACCAGGCTTCTCTCTGTACATCTGCAAAAGCTCCAGCAGTGTGTCCACACAGTTTTCAGCATCGTAAACTGCTGAGATCGTTTTATCATACTTAAAAGAGACCAGGATAAAATGAAACCTTACAAGGAACATGTCTTTTTACAGTCTAACTACATAATAAGGTTGGAGACAAATTTCTGAAGCATCTGCAGCAAGCAGAGACTTTTTGACGGCATTTTGTTATTTCTGACCCATCTTCTACACACATTTCCATCTTAATCATTTTCCCCACCCACTGTTAGAGTTTTAAAGTGAACCAGAGTCAAAAGCTCTAAGAGAGAGAGAGAATATCATGAGGTAGATTAAAGAACCTTGTAGTATGACTCTCACAGGTAACTGGTTACCACAGGGTAAGGTAACAGTAAAGAGAAGACCTAGTTTGCTACCCCATTCTTTGTTCCTTGAGGAGATGAAATTGCTATAAAATAAATGATAACTTTAACTGAGTCTAAGATATATTTTCAATGGCTTATTTGTCCAATCATGTCATTAGATTTACATTAAAAAGTGCATGATAACAATATTAATATAACACCACTAGCTAACACCATGGTCTTGTTAGGAAAGCACCTTGGGTGTAGGCACTCAGCCTTTTCAGTGACACCGAGGTGGATCCAGCAACAGCCTTTTTACACAGGTGAAAAACAGGACGCACAGAGCATCTAAGCAAGCTGTAACATCATACAGATCTGGGACCCAAATCCAGAGTTTGGCATTGGAGTCTGCTCTCATCTACTACCTCTCATGAACACAGGAGGGTGGTTCAGGAGACGACTCAGGTAGAAAATTTTTCCACTTAATGCCTCAACTGTCTCTAACTTTAATAAGTACTAGTACTATAACTTCTCTGAAAAATAAAACAGGACTACTTTAGTGGGTTATACAAAATTAAATAACACATAAATCACTAGCATGTAGACAGTAAATGACAGCCAGTCATTTAAACAAATTAAATCCTATAAAAACTAGTATTTCCACATATAGCTATGTTAATAGATGAATTTTTTTTTACTCCCAGAAAGACTCTTGAACATAAGTGAATTTTAAGTGAATTTGCAGGGTCATGATTCTTGACAATGTATGTTTTATTATTAGAACAGAAGGCTACCTTTGCCACATTCAGCAATACTTGAACAGCATAACCAACGACTTCCATACAGGGGACACTACGATTACAGCTTCGGATGACAACAAAGATTGTAGAAATCGCTCCACTTTCAGCCATATTCTCACAGCAAAGTGGAGATAATCTGGTAACAACCTCTGAAAGAGAAACAAATGAGTAAACAAGGAAATTCACAAGAACAAAAAAATAATTTAGGAAACACTATTATTTCACTTTTTTTTTTTTTTTTACATTTAGAGAAAAGTAGTCCTTCTCTTAAACATGGTATTGAGACGGTAAACTAACCCAGGTGCTTCAAAGCATCCAGGATGGCAGACAAGTGTTTGTACGTCAGCAGATGATGAAGTGCACGTGCAGTTCTTCTGTAGAGCTTGTTCTCCTCCTCAACGTTCTTACTGACGGCTCTGAGGCTTAACCGAATAGCCTTAATTTCTGTGTGATCATTTTTCTTCCTCCAAGAATAGCCTCTCCATAATGCCTTCACAAACAGGTATAACAGAGTCATTTATAAATGTCAGCCAGTAATGTTCTGAACCTATATTTCAACTGAAGCTGCACCTTAGATTATAATCTTAGGCTATGACACTATTTGAGTGCTTAGCACAAATGTGCATGTTGCTGCATAGCTTTTATATGGTTCTATGCAAACTAAGACTATAACCATATTTCTAATTATGAACAAACAGGAAACCCAGAGCTTCAGTCCCTACAGATTCACTAGAAATTTCTGTGTGCCTGTTAAAAGAAGCAGTATTATCCACAAGTGTGTGATAAATTAGAGATAGTATACTTAATTTGGCGAAAGATACAAATACATCATGGTAGGATAGATTTTTCTTCTTCTGTCATTCTGTCCCTCGAAAGACTTGTATTCAGGAGTCTTTAGTGTTGTTTGCTTTCAGAAAATCTCATCTGATCTAGAACCCTGTACAATGTTAAGGCACTTACCTACTACCTTTCTTTCTTTGGGGTAAATGAAGCTCCAAGTCAACAGACTAATAAATTGTTTTTATTAAATATAGGTGGCTACGCTTCTAAATAGGTCTTCTTTTCATTAATAAAAGACTGTTAGAGTTCCAAGAAAAAAAAAAAAGTAAACTTTAATTTACCTGAATTCTTGTGGCACTGTTATTCATTTTTTTCTGTTTTCTGCGAAGGAGAAAGTGGCGTACAGCCTTCTGTATCACAGATGCAGCCTTATTCTGCCGGAGCTGACATTCTTGAACTTCACGTTCAGTTTTTATGATCTTATGATACTGTTCAATAAGCTTCTTTTGTTGTAGTCTTCTTCGAAACCATCTCTATTTAAAACATGAAGGTTTTTCACTTTTACTTGTAAATATATATATATGTGAGTTATATAGACACACATATATTTATGTATTTATAAACAGACTTACATATATATACATTTATATGCAAAAATGAAGGAATACTGAATTATCGTTTGACCCTACATCCTATTCTGTGGCATCATTTTCCTATTACACTTCAAGCAAATCCTTCAAGCTCTTATTGAATATATGTGGGCACAGGTTGTAATATATATGAATCTATTCAGCATTTTGCAAGTTGTTTTCTACCCCAATATTTTATATGTAAATTTATGGCAGTGCATACAAAAGCAAAACTTCCCCTGTATAAGTACTATAAATTACGATATGGATATCAAATAGGAAAAATAAGCATTTTGAATAGTGAATAATACACAGGTACAAATTTAAGTGACTAAGATGGGAAAAACTAGAAATGACAGTAAACAAGTAAATCCAAACAAAGATGTCATTCCATTCCCATTCATTAGAGTGGCAAAATCAGAATGTCTCTCAAGGCTGGACAAGGATATAGAGAAACAAGTATTACAGAGTGAGGGTGTGGATGAGTACAATTACATTAGTGGAGGATCACTCATATTTCTGGCCCACAAAACAAAGACTAGTTCCTGACCCTTACCTCATCCTGTGAGCTAGCATCTACAGTCTAAATATTCTGTGACCTTCTGTAAGTACATCTAAAAATGAGTAACATAAAAAAAAAACATTCTTTACATATATATGTACATATATGTATATATTTTTTTGAGACAGAGTTTTCCTGTGTAGCCTTAGTTGTCTTGGAACTTACTTTGTAGAGCAGGCTGGCCTCAAACTCACAGAGATCTGCCTGCCTCTGCCTCCACAGAGCCGGGATTAAAGGTGTGCCACCACACAACCACTGTAAACGATGAATATCTTTTGTTTGAATGCAGAGGACAAGCTAACCTGAATAAAGATGACTGAATTCACATGCTTCGCAGCATTCCTCACAGCCATGTGGAATCTATAGGCTCGCTGGATTCTAAAAGCACACATGTGACAGTAAGCAGCTGCGGTAAAGTGGAGAAGTCGAATTTTGGCTCTCTGTTCTGAAACCTAAGCACACAGAGAAAAAAATTTCAATAGAAAAACAGCCAAAATACATAAGAGCTCCACGGTGACCTTTGGACTTTAGATTTCTAGCAGATTTAATGAATACAAGATTTCTCCTTTTAAACCTCAAATCTAACGACTTTTGTCTAGACCAGTTCACGTATCCTTAGCCCCAAAGTCATGACCTTCCTACAGACAAAAAAAATTCCTTTCTTAGTGAAGATGTGGCTGTCACAAGGACAGTAGTTCTTAGAGTTGCTGGAGAGTAACCAAAGTCTGCCTGTGTGCAAACTGTACTCTTCCACACACGAAGCCTTCACACTCCTGCCAGTTCTTTTGCTAAGTGTTACTTCATTAAAAATTAAACAAACAAACAAACAACAAATTTAAAAAACTCAATTCATTTTGTATGTTTGGTGTAACCATCTGTGGGAAGAGCAACAAAACCATGACAACCAATGATCTTGTTAAATAGCTCTCTAATAGCTGAGTTAATGACTGTATTAATATTGATAGCATTCTCCAAGATTCAAAATTTATCACTACTTAACATTAAATACTTTAATTTTTCTCTAAAATACTTACTTTTTTCCTTACTAACCAGCCACGCACCAATGCTTGTAAAACAACTGTAGACTTTTTAAATTTGATATATTTCATCCTTTCACGCTTCCCAGACAGCAAGGCTCGTATCCATCTCTGTATGATTAAAACAGCGGATCTCTGCTGTAGAAAGGACTGCCTCTCCTTATAGCCTCTAAAATGAGCTTGTATCAAACAAGCAGCTCGATGTCTCTATAAGGAAAAAGGTGGTAACATTAATAGGCAGGAATAAGATTTTGATCCTCTTAAAAGTTCTTGAATTTCTCACTGTAAAGGGAGATGCTGTACTAATAATATTCCTTATTTTCATAGTTTGAGAATGTCCTATTTCATGGACATAGAAAAGGAATAAAACATTAATTCTAAAACCATACAGATCTATAGCAAAAAAATGAAGGAAGGTACAGGTTGGGGTCACAAGGTCTGTAGCTACTGGGTCCTTTCCTTTTCATCCTGATTCTTTCCACCTTGTGGAGGGAAAGAAGAACATTATTATAGGACAAAAACACTGGGCGAAAATACAAGCCACAGTGTGAAATGTACAAAATCAACCACAGCAAAAGCCGTTTGTAGCTTTAAGAGCTACAAAGCAGGGTAGAAAGATGAGTGCTGACATAGTGGCTTACAAGCTTCTACAACTCCAGCTCCAAAGGCTCCGACGTGTCCCTGTAACCTCCACAGCGCTGGCATGCATGTGGTGGACACACACCCGCTGCGCACATACACAGAAGTAAGGAAATATTTGTAATAAACATCTACGCAGCATGTCAACTGCATTCCTTACATTGTTCAATACATTGTTCAATAACAGCTTCAGAAATCATTTTCCCATACACTTAAAGGGTAAGATTAGAATCCATTTAAGAAAGTTGATTTTGCAATCTTCTACACACCTGCTTAAAAATCATGGGCAAGTTAGCACTCTAAACAGTTTCTAGCACTTAAAATGATCATAGTAATAACAACTACCACATACGTTTACTACCCAGTGCCAATGGTCAGAGTAAAAACAACTGTGGTTAGGTAGTTAGAATGACTGTTATATGAGCTTAAGCCATACATGCAAAATTCTAATGCTGATACACAGCAATTATTTAAAAGTTATATTTAATAACAAGGTAATCTAAAACTGTTAAATATTTAAACATAGGGTTGAGAAAGCATGTTATGATATATTTGACTTATACTAGACAAAGTATATTTCTTTACTTTCTTCAAACATACATTATTTTCACTGCAATCATGAAAAATTTGAGTTTGAGAATATTTTATTTAACACACATACACACTGGGAGAGAGAGTGAGAAAGAGAGGGAAGACAGAGGCAGAGAGACACTCCTATACACAGCATACGAGCAAATCATATCGTTACGAGTGAATCTAATTTTAATGGACTAAACCCAACATTTGTAAAACAAATGCACAGTTCAATCTTTAACATTGTTTGTTTTATTTCCTGATGTGGATCGTGTAAATGAATTACTTTTATTTACACTTACTTTTAAAATCAAATTCTTATGAGCTACTCTTGTAGAGAGTGTAGCTCTCCATTTCCTTTGAATTATAATTGCTGATGCCCTCATCTTCAAGAACCTGAAAAGTAGATTAGAAAGTTAAGTTTAAATTAGTTTAATCTAGTCAGTGTTCCCCCCCACCAAAAATAAAAGAAAGAAAATATTAGAAAGGCAATGACATAAAATGCCAAAGTATACTTTGTATTCTAGCAATCAGATTTTTACATATATAATGAAAGCCAGTTTTGTAATTGGCAATCTTCTATTGTATAAAACATAAGCTCTGAAATCTAGTGGGACAAAGAATTTTGTACAAGATTTTTTAAATGTTTAATTAAAAGGTAGAGGAATCACAGATGATGGAGGCAGTGACTGAAATAAAACCATCACAGGAGAAAGGGACACATACTGGAAAAGAAAGACCAATTCTATGACATAAACTTGATAACAAAGAATGACTAGCTTGTGAACATTTTTGGAACCGAAATTAAGTAGGAATAGGAAAGTAAATTCTGTAAGGGCAGAGTGATAAACAGTAGATGGTACATGACATAACAAAATCAAAACTCAGACTTCTCAATCAGCAAAGTGTCTTGTGCAAGCATGAGGACCTGAATTCAGATTGCGGGTGCCCATGTGAAAGCCAGACATAGCACTGAGGTCCACCTAGACAGACAGAGCCAGAGCTTGCTGGGTACTCGCTCTAGCAAGACCCTGGCTCAAAAAATAAGCAGACAGCGATAACCTCTGCCTCTCCCTGTCACTCACACATAGACTACCCACAAATAATTAACAATTGTTGCCAGTAGCTAAATCAGCAAAGATAGTGGAAATCAATACTAAACCAGTTCTCTCACTTTCTAATCTTCTGTCTTTAGGTTCATCCCTTTGGATTTGAATAGATCACATAAATGCTTTTTACTAAATTATATTATCAAAGTTATACTTTTCATTAAAAAAATCCTAACATATATTTTGTACCATTAATGGAGAACAAACTCACATACACAATTTTTAAAACCATATAAATTGAACAATTATTTAAAAGAAAATAAGCAGAGTTACTTTACACTCTTCCAGAGTTTTAATACATTACCTCATTCTCTCCAGCTTAGCACAGATGTAACCTTCAATAATTTTAACAGCTTTTAATAAAGCTACATATCCCTTGCGTGCTCTCCAACATCTATACCACGCTTGAATCCTACAGGCAGCTTCCACTTTGGATAAGTATTTCTTAGCTTTATATGTTCTCCATACAGCCTATATCAAGCATATAAATATAATAAGTATACAATAATTGTCTAAGCTAGAAAGATCCTATGTAATTAATGTTATATCAAATGCACTTTTTATAAGCTAATATGCAACAAATAGAAACAAAACGTTAATTGTAAAAACCAAGTTGGTTTCTGCTCTAGCAGACTGACACACAGAGAGCATTCTAATAACAGTGGTTTTTATGACAACAGTGAATATGTAGTACCATATATTAGCATATACACTGTGTGGCTGGAGGCCAGCCACCTCAGCACAGCCCAATCAGAAGTTTAAAACTGTAAGCTACGAATGATTTGTTAAAAGCCAGATATTGCTACATGGTCCTCAAAACATCCAGAAGAAGAGAAATAAAAGAAACTCTACTTTCTGGACAGAAAGAGCAACAGCTCCTTTTCCAATTCATTTGTCACTATAGGGTCTGCCTGCAGCAGGATTTTGAGAGAACAACCAGATTTTTTCATTTTGGCATCTTTATGATAGTGACACCTATAACTTATTCAATTAAATTGTTTTTAAAAAAATGATTAATCCTGATAGTAACAAAACATAAAAATTACAGGCCAGAGAAATAAAATAAGTTGATACACAGTTCAAATAGTACAAGGACTGAAATACTCCCCAAAGCCCCTACTTATAGAAAATATAATTCAGTTGACTTTTCATGAGGTTAATATGGCTTTTCTGTTATGTAGATGATGCGATCCTAACTAAAACCTAGACACCCATTGATGCACAGTATCTGGGTTTTGAGCACACTTCCTGTTCTCCCCCTAACCCTAGGCCTGTTGATACCAAGTTTCTTAGTTTTCTTTCTTTCTTAGGACCATGTAGACTTTGCTCAATACCCGTGCGTTCTTATGGCTTCCAAATCCAAGTCTTAGGCCCTCTTCTTCTTCCTGTCCATCCTTCCACAGGTTCAGTTATTAGAATGTGAGAAAAATGGACAAGCATATCCTAAAAACTCACTGGTCTTCTGACCTGCAGTGTGAGCTGCCTTAGCGCACATCTGCTGGGTCACCTATGAGGCACTACAGCCTGGTGCTCCGCACTGAGCTCATCACCATCTCAATCCCCTTGCATCTGCTCCCTGTGGCCATGAAGGGGGTGTTTGCTGAATTGCTAACTTTTTATTTCCTTTCAGAACCGATCTATAATAATGTTATACCACCACAACAACAAAAATATTTCTTTGTTCAATAAACAGCTTTAGCACATGCTTTTGGCAGCCAGGACATTTGTAGCACATTCCTTACCTGGAAGCCTCTTTCAGACTCCATTTGCCTCCTCACTTTAAAGGCTCTAAAATGTTTCTGTATAGTCAGGGCAGCTTCATGCTGCTGCTGAACTTGTTCTGTAGTGTTCAAACCCTGAAAATGCGCCGGAAGAGTTGTTTCTTCCTCACATACACTGGGTAGAAGAGCTTGCTGTCTCTTTTTCTTTGCTCTATATTTTCCTTGTATTACTTTTGCAGCCCACCGTAGCTCCTGATAGAGACAATGCTGCCTGTGCATCCTGTATGTGCTTTCTATTATGACAGCGGCACTGTGTTCTTTTACAAGCTGGCTAGCTTTCATTCCTTTGTGTGCATCTTGAAGGGCCACAGCAGAGTCCCACTGTCTGATAAGTTTTTCTCTTTGTAGTTTTACAGTTCTGTATGTTCGATAATGCTGCTGAATTGTAATCGAGGCATGTTTCCAAGTGTGAAATCTAACATATGTTCTGTGCATTCTAAAAGTAGCCTGGATGAGAACTGCAGCCCTGTGCATTTCTTGTAACTTCTTTCTTGCCATCAGTCTTCGATAAGATGACTGTATTGTAATGGCTGCCTTTCGTAACCGCAAGAAGTGGTGCAATTTATGCCTGGCGCAAATGGTGGCTCGATATTTCCTCTGAACAAATACAGCAGCTTTTCTGAGAGCAATGAATCTCCTCCTTGCTATGAGAGCTCTATATTTACTCTGAATAAGGGTTGCAGAAGAATGCATAGTCTTCAGGTGACTTCTGGTTTTCATCCCCCTAAAGGCCGCCTGAAGGATCACAGCAGCCTGTTTCTGTTTGAAAAGCTGACTCTGCCGTTTTTCAGCTCTGTGTGCTTGGTATTGCTTTTGGATCACAACTGCCACCCGCTTTAAACCCTGGTACCTTACCTGGGCTCTGTGCATTCGGAAGGTGGCCTGAATAACAGTTGCAGCCCTGTGCATCTTTTGCACCCTTTTTCTTACCACCCATCCTTTGTATAAAGACTGGATCTTAATAACTGCCTTTTCTAACAGTAATTGTTGATAATACTTTGCATGAATTCTTGCACGGTATTGTCTCTGAATCCAAATAACAGTTTTCCTGAGAATGAGGAACTTTCTTCTCATCTGTAGAGTTCTGAATCTTCTCTGAATAAGAGTTGCAGCTAAATGCATTGCTTTCAAATGTCTCCTAGTTCTCAGTCCCCTAAAGGCAGCCTGAATGAGTATTACAGAATGCCTCAGGCTACTGTACCTCTGAAACTGAATGTTTCTTTCTTTCACTGCTCGGTATCTCTGTTGAATCATTTTTGTCACCTTCCTCAACCTATGAAAATATGTTTGCTGTCTGTATCTTCTAAAGTGTGACTGAATGAGTGTGGCTGCCATCTGCATCTTTCTTATAGTCTGTCTATCTCTTGCTCCTCTGACACCAGCCTGAAGAGTTTTAATAGCATTCAAAGTTCTCAGGTACTTTTCACGCTGAACTTTACCTAGATACCATGCTCTGTATTTCACCTGAATGACAACAGCTGCCATTCTTATCCTGTGGTATCTTACTCTTGACTGATGCATCTTAAACATGGCTTTAATAAGCGTGGCTGCCATGTGCATGTGTTGAATATGTCTTCTTGCTCTAATGCCTCTAAAAGTGGCTTGAACTTTAATTGCTGCTTTCTTTAAGTTAAGATATTCCTGATGATGCTTGGTTGTAATTTTAATATTCCGATACCATCTCTGAATTATAATAGCTGAAGCTCTATAGTTTGTATATTTCTTTTGGGTTTGGTAGGCTCTAAATTTAGACTGTACGGTGACTGCTGCTTTGTGGTATTCTTTAATTTGTTTTCTCACTTTCATACCACGGTAAGCTGACTGCAAAATTACTATAGCTGCTTTTGTTTTTAGATATAAACAGTGCTGTTCTTTTCCAGCTTTGTAAGTCCTGTAATACACCTGAATCTGAAGAGCAGCCATTTTCATGACCTTCCACTTCCTTCGTTGAATATGCATTCTGTAATAAGACTGTATGAGGACAGCACATTTGTGCTGCCAGTCAATCTGTCTTCTCAGCATCTTCCCTTTCCATGCCGCCTGAAACACCAGAGCTGCATGACGGAGTCCAAGATACTCTAAGCGCTGCCTCTTTCCTGCAGCCCATGCCCGGACATGCTGCTGGATGACTACTCCAGCTGTTCGTAATAGTTTAAACTGCCTCTGGGCCATGAGCATTCTAAAAGTAGACTGGATCTTCGCTGCAGCCTGGTGCTCCCTCCCGAGCTGCTGTCGAACTTGCCAGCCACGGTAGGCAGACTGGAGAGAAAGCACAGCCTCTCTTGTCTTTAGGAATTGCGTTCTCATGTCTTTAGCAATCTTGTATGCCCTGTACCATCTCTGAATCTTCACAGCAGACTGAAGCACATTTTGGTATTTCATCCTCTGATTGTAGCCTCTAAAAACTCTCTGAATTGTAACAGCAGCTGTAGACTGCTGCTTGATCAGCTGGCGTACTTGGTAGCCTCTGTAAGCTGCCTGCAAACAGATAGCTGCTCCTTTGACCCGCAGGAAGTCCTGCCTTTGACAGACTTGTGCTTTGTAGGCATGGTAGAAACTCTGAATCACAGCAGCCGCCTTGCACACCTTCAGATAGTGCTGCCTCGCCTTCCTCATTCTGAAGTAAGACTGTAGAGAAGTGGCAGCTTTGCTTTGCAACCTCATCTGCTTTCTGACCAGGTATCCTCTAAAATATGCTTGCAATTTGATACAGGATTCACGCATCTGTGTGTAGTCTTTTTTTTTTTGAGCAGCCATTTTTTGAGAACGATACCACCGCTGGGTAAATAGTGTAGCTGCTTTTAACTGTAAATACTGCTTGCGTGTTTGTTTCATTTTAACAATTGACTGCAGCTTTATTGTAGCATTTCTCAAGCTCTGAAATTTCTTTCTGGATATATAAGCCCGATAATATGACTGAATTTTTATAACAGAAGTTAAAGTGTGACAAAACATTTTCCTGGCCTGCATCCTTCTATATGCAGACTGTAGAACAATGACTGAAGACCGTGTTTTCTGATAAGATGCGAGAACCTTCCTGGCTGAAACAGAAGCACGTAAATAAGTCTGAATTATAATAGTTGCTTTCTTTATCTTCTTATATTTCTGTAGTTGTTGATGTCTTCTTATGTGTGCTTGTAATCTGATAACAATCTTTTTAAGGTTTAAAAATCTAATTCTTTCCTGTCTCATTCTCCAATAGGACTGAAGAACACAGGCAGCCTGAATTTGCAATCTGTATGAATTGCGAGCCTTCATCCCCCTGAATGCAGCCTGTAGTCGAACGGCAGCAGCTCGTTTTTGCAAATAGTTGGTGCGTGCTAGCTTCCCCTTCTGATATGCCCTGTAGTGTTTCTGCAGAGTCAGGACAGCGTCTTTCCTTCTCTTATATAACGTTTGGGCTTGAAAGCACCGAAATCTTCTCTGGATGACTATAACACAAGATCTAATATAAACATATTTCTGCAATTCCCTGTGCATTCTATACCACGACTGAATCACGACAGCGGATCTTTCTTGTGTTTGTTTCCTGGAATGCCATTCTCTAAAAGCTCGCTGCAACGTGACTGCAGCTTTGGTTTGTAACTGCAACTTGCGTCGCTTCCACCTTCTGAACATAAACTGGATTACAAGGGATGAAGATTTTAGCATTTTAAATCTTTGTTGATCTTGTTTTCTTCTTAAACAGGC